GGTTTTCCCCACTGTTGGACCATCTGTGCTGGCAGTTATAAACAGCAGTCTGCTCTCAGGGAAGGTCCCTGAAAACCTGAAGCATGCAGGAGTGCAACCTCGTATGAAAAAACCCAGTCTGGATCCCACAGTTCTGGCTAATTTTAGGCCTATTTCCAAAATGCCTTTTATGTCAAAAATCCTGGAAAAGATTGTCTGCAATCAAATTATGTTTTTTCTGGAAGAGAACAATATACTGGAGGTTTTCCAATCCGGTTTTAAAACTATGCACAGCACTGAAACAGTGATTTTAAGAGTTTTTAATGACATCCTTTTATCTACTGACTCTGGGGACTGCGTTGTGCTTCTACTTATTGATTTAACTGCTGCTTTCGATACAGTCGACCATGACATCCTGATCTCTCGCTTGGAGAAGTGGATGGGCATTGAGGGGAAAGCCCTGGAATGGTTCAGGTCATATCTGAAGGACAGAACTTTCTCTGTCAGCCTTGGTGACTCCGAGTCATCCTCTGCTCCACTCCTGTATGGGGTCCCACAGGGCTCAGTATTAGGGCCCCTGCTATTCTCCCTCTATTTTCTCCCTCTTGGGTCCATATTTAGAAAGCACGGCATCGCATTCCACTGCTATGCTGATGTCCCACTAAAAAAGAAGGAGGGTTACTCAATTAGCCCACTGCTAAAGTGTCTAGAGGACACAAAGGCCTGGATGGCGTGCAATTTCCTAAAACTAAATGAAGGAAAAACAGAAGTAATGGTTTTTGGTAGCACCACTGGCACCACTTCTGTAGACCTGGGTTCCCTGGCTCAGTACAGCAAGCCCACCATTACGAACCTTGGCATTAAAATGGGCCGTGAACTAAAACAAATATGTATTTGTTGTTCTTTTCACTATCTTTGTAAAGCGACTTTGAGCACCTGTAAAAGCGCTAACAAAATAAATCTATTATTATTATATTAATGGACCGTGAACTCAAACTTGAGAGTCAGATTAAATCTGTGGTAAAAACAAGCTTTTATCACCTAAGGCAGCTAGCCAAAGTAAAACCTTTTCTCTCCAGACAGCAGTTTGAGACAGTAATCCTTTGTCACCACTCGGCTGGATTACTGTAACTCTCTCTACAGTCAGGGGTCAGTGGGTCCTCCCTCGCTCGTCTGCAGCGGGTGCAAAATGCCGCAGCAAGGCTTTTAACTGGCACACGGAAATATGACCACATTTCCCCCATTTTGGCTTCGCGCCACTGGCTGCCAATACATTTTAGGATTAATTTCAAAATCCTTGTGTTTACTTTTAAATCCCTAAATGGCATGACCCCACCATATCTTTCTGAGCTGCTACACCCTTACACGCCCAACCGCCCTCTCAGGTCAGCGGATCAACTGCTCCTGAATGTGCCCAGAACCAAGTCAAAGCTCAGAGGGGGCCGTTGCTTCTCTGTAGCGGCTCCCACACTGTGGAATGATCTGCCCCTGCACATCAGACAGGCTGCCACACTGCCTGCTTTTAAATCGCTTCTTAAAACCCACCTCTTCCCTTAGCATATTAACATCTTTTAGAGAGTTGCTTTTAAATTGTCTATTGTTTTTACTTGTACTTGTTTTATGGTGTGTGAGCTGAGTTACTTTTTGTATGTTTTGTTTTGTTTATTTGCCTGTACAGCACTTTGGTCTGGAGGTTTAAAGTGCTCTATAAATAAAGCTGTATTGTAACAATCTGACTTTATCAATATGCAACGGCAAAAAACCCATGATCATTATAATGTATAATGAAATATAAATGCCAAAATGTAAAAGCTGCCAGATGAAAACCAGTGTGTGTGGAACTCTGAGAAGGGCGTAAAATACTGTTTATCTTGCATATCATTTCTTTTTTCATAAGGATGGTGAAAACATGTGCAAATATAGAATTACCTTTATTGAGATTATGTAAATAAAATGGTTTTGTATGGACTGCATCTTTTTCATTTTGATCAAATCAATCAACATATGAGGTTCAGCTTTGTGAAAGTAGACAGGACACCTGTAAATATTCCTCGATTGCTGATTCCAATTTGATGAGGCTTGCAAAACTTAAACATCACTAAAAAAGTGTACTGATATCTGTATGTTTTTAGTTTGAGCGTTCATGTATGCAATTTATTAAAAGGATGCATGAACATTAGTTATCTGCATACTTACTGGTAACCCCCTCTGCCAGAATGTCAGACATCTTGCAGCAAGAGGACAGAATTCGCATGCTCATGTGATCCACGATAAGAACCTGAAGAAGTGAGAGATATACAGGGGTTATAAATTCAGTTTGACAAAATCAGGGGACTTTTTCATTCTTATTGGAAAATTGTTACCTTCCATTCTCCATCCTTCTTCACACTTTTAATAACCCCATTGAGGATTTCTGTAGAAGAGAAGAAATACATTTATATATGATTACAAAGTATCAATAATTTCTTGCCCCACATACAAATGTTAGGTAAAACAGATAAGTGTATGAAATGTATCAATGACTCCAATACGACAATACCGTGCAATGCTGTTTGTAGATTTGATATTACATTTTATGAGGATCAGATTATAAAAAAGGTATAAAAGCTGTGGCAGGAGGTGGAACACCTTGCCTAAAATGTCGTAAAATAAAACACCAGCCTTCAGGGTAAAAGAGAAGAGGCACTATTCCACATAACTAAATTATATTTAGTTTGGCAATTGTTTTGGCCATCATCACATCACCAGGATCGGGTAAGCTTACTTCTTCAGCTTAACTTTTCTCGTCTTAATAGTGCACACAAGGACGACAGTGTGTGAAGATGCACAAAAATGAAGAACTACCTCAATGTGATAACATGTCATTTCTCAACTTCCTCAATATTAACAAAGCAGAGACTCCCTAATGCAGGATGGACTCGACAAGAAAACCAAGCCACATGTGGTCTTAAGGTCCTTCCTCTCAACAATTGTTACTAAAGCTCACTTTTTTTTTTTTTTAACGGTACAAACATACATTCAGAAACTTAACAATGTCTACTAGGACCCAGCGATGACAAACTTCCTTTCTTGCCATGGCCAATCTATTTCTACACAAGGAACTAGAAAAGATGACAACTTTTAGCCGGGGCTTTTCCAGCTTAAAGAAGACAGCCTTTAAACCATATCAGTTTTTTATCTTCGCCTGTGTATTTGTTAATTAAAAAAAATGTAGCTAAATATCTGCCTCCACAATTGCCCTGATGCAAATCTCGCCTAAAACACAATGCATATACCAAAACTTAAATAAATTAGTCATCAGGCCTAGTTAAAAAATAAATCATTTTTTGTCTGATCTCTGAATCCCTGGCAAAGTGTGGATTATATATTGCCTATAAACACATGAAGATGTTATGAGTTCTGAATGACGGGTGTTTTCACATTATTTGACATGGGAAAAAAGGTTGTGCCAATGTTGTAAAGAAATGTAGGCTACATTTATATGATACATTAAGAACAACTGTATCACTTCATTAAAATACTGAAATTGTTATTTAAACGTATAAGGGTAAATAACCATAACGCTATAGTGTTTGTAGATATTTCTGAATACACAATGTATTATTAATTAACTTTTTTATATTGACGTTGCACCTATGCGTTGCACACCTAGGCAAATTCCCCGTAGGCCTATGTGTTCAACTACTTGGCAATAAACCTGTTTCTGATTCAAACAATAGCTATTTGTTCATTTTATCAAGACACCTGACCTGATGATTCAATGTTGAAATACAAGTTACTCTAAAACTTAATTGATGTCTAATGTCAGAACATAATAGTTAATTTATTCCATCACAAGGGAAGTTAACCGACTTCCCTTTAGATGAGCTAGCTTGCGTTAGCCTACAACTTTGACTGTCACAACATTTCCAGTCACTGACGCCACGACTATTTCTCTTTTTACATCCGCAAACACATCACAATAACAACCATTTCTCCTCAGCAAAGATTGTTACCAACACATACAGAACAACAATATCAATTTATCACAATAACTTGGTAAGTGATGTCATCAACCAAAGTAAGGTGCGCAATTCATTGGGACAGGAACAGGAAGAAACCCTTTGGTGGCCATCGTCTCCAGCAATGTTTTGAGCTAAAAGCTGAGCGTTAGTTTATCGAGCTCATAGGTGACGTTTAACTTAACTTTCTACGTATTTTAGTTTTAATAAACTTCTTACAGCAGATAGGGATACAATGAATGTGTAACTTACTTTCTCCTACTACCGCTTTCAGCCCACTCGGTGCCATCTTGACAGCAGTCTGCTGCTGCTGGTCGCTCGGTCACTTCCTTGTTGTTATATATCGGATCTAGCACACAGCTTTTGACAGCGAAATATTGCCCCCTTTTGTCTAATTCGACTATTGCATGGTCAAATCTCATCCACTATTCACAATTTTATATTGTAACCCTACTATGGTTGTGACCTTATGTTTGGAAAAAGCACCATGTCCTAATTCTAATTTAGCCGGCGCCTTTTCCTAAAGATTTTCTGCAACTAGAAGTCCAACTACTATGTTTTCTTAAGGGTGGATTAACCCCATAAATAGAACCAGTAGGCCTATTCATCACTTAGACTATCATAACATAACATACTATAGTACAGCCATTAAAAGAAACAGCTGAAAGAAAGAAATACACACTTTCTTGCCTTGCCTGCCTAAGACTCATCATGACCTATATGGTTGAACACATCCAAAACAATACCACCCTACATTTGGGAGTTCAAAGTAGCTGTCATTTTCAGCAGGATACACCGTTTTTTTAAATGATTAAAGAAAATGTTTTCTAAAGTAGGAAAGAAAAAGTGTTTCCAGATCAAGCATTGCCAAGCAACTGCTGGCTTTTGTAATCAATTCAGGTTTTAATTTAATCTCAACACATTTATGTATGTGTGTGCTGTAGCAGGAGGTACACTACTCTACACTTCAACCTGAGGTTAAGGATGTGGCAATAGGCGAATCAAAACGTGTTGCAATAGTTGAAATACAATTTTTTTTTAATGAAAACCAGCATTAAAATTACATTTTAACAAGCAGTACACACATAATCAGTGCCTATGTCTTTCCCACTCCCCAAATAAACAAACACAGGTTGTAAATACACTTTTACAACCTGGATAAAACAGGTTTTAAAAAATATATATAATGTCACACAACTGAAACTAAATGATTACTAATGCAGTCAATTGTTTTTCCATCTCCAATGAATGCAGAAAATGATAATCTATCAGATAAGAATCCTGTTGCAAACTATAAATCAACTGTAATTTAAGGTTCATTTAATTTTAAAATAAGACAACCAAGAACATCAAGCAAAAGGTACCCATACTTCATTACACAGGCAAAAGGCAGTTGTTGCTGAAAAATGGGCCATTTTAAGATATTATCATGAAGAGGGTGAATACTTTTGCTGTTAGTTACTTTGTGATTTGTGTTTGTGCATTCAAATCATCTTATGGATATTTGTTTTACACTTTGATATTAAGGTCTATTTCTGTTGTATCCATGTCAAAAATGTCTTATTTCATCCGCTGTGGTACAATGTTGTATGACACTAAAACTGGTCAAAAGCAACGAGGTTGAATAGACCTATTAGGCTTTGCACCTCATAGAATACATTCTTATAATTACATTGGATTGAACTCGATATATCTCAAAAATAATTATTGTATTACAGTGAAATCAGATCAACTTGATTGACAAAATGTAAATGAAAAAGACATATTGGGGAAAAGCAATTCCTGGAAAACACCCAGCACACCTTTGGGGTGTGTTAATTTATCAGAGGTTTCCAAAGGCTCTTACTCCAGTCAGACACGTTTTTTTTACTTTTCCCCAAAAAATATTGCCAGATGATCCTCCCCTGGTGGTAGTGGGAATTTATACATTTCTTCATCTTATTTTGGTCAATTCTCAGTCTCCATAGACATCCGTTTCATTATTCGCTTCTCCTTACGAACTCGCATTCGCTCTTTGAAGTCCTCCAACTCTTTCCTCTGAAAACAAAATATAGCACATCATCAGTTTCAATCATTTTCATCAATATTGTGCTGTACAGCAGTAGTTAAAAACAGGGCTTGCATATTTAAATGAAAAAAGTAGCATCAAAAGAAAGAGTTCTTGTTTCGTCTATGTAGCTGTATTTACTGGTTTGTTTTAGAATTATATATTGATGAAATAATATTATAGACCCTATGGCAAAAAACTTGAACACAGGGTGTACTGCAGTGCAGACAAATTAAGCTCAGCGCAAGTTCAACCAGGAAGACCGTCTTTACTCATTCATGTATTTCTATTCCCATGTTACTACTCTCTCTCCTCTCAATAAGTGACCGGGGGCGTCACTCTTCAGCTTAACCAATCACTTCGCTCTATTCCCAAGAGCCTATCATAGCGCTCTGTCAAACCTTTTAAATCTGCTCTCCCCCCTCTGACAGCTGTCATTTCAGGTGACTCTACGCAACCCTCCTCCACCCCCTTTTCACCTCCAGTCCCTCGGAATCCAGGGTCAAGCTAAACCACTCCTCTTCAGACCGACCCAACTATCCATTCACCACCACCAGTGTCTCGACCCCAGGGGGGTTTCATCGGATCGGTTCTACCCTCCCGAATGATACTTCCTGCACAACGGGGCCTAATCGCCAAAATTACCATTACATTCATTTGTGCATCTGCGCAATAAATATGTATTATTACATCAAAACAGTCTCTCCTGATTGAAATGTAAGTGTTGTGGTAGTGAGAGAGTGCAGTACATTGTTTTATTTTGTGTTTTTTATGGAACTCATGTACTTTATAAACCTATGAACTCTGTGCATTATACTTACATGCTCTTTCTCGTCGGCTGGGAAGATCTCTCTCTGGATATCGAAAGATGCCATCATAGAACAGAGAAAAAAACATCTGTTATTAACAGTGGTGGAAAGTAACAAAGTACATTTACTCAAGAACTATACATACTTAAGTACAATTGCGAGATACTTGTACTTTAGTATTTCAATTTGTGTGCTACTTTGTACTTCTACTCCACTACAATTAAGAGGTAAATCGTGTACTTCCACTACAATTAAGAGGTAAATCGTGTACTTTTACTCCACTAAATATATGTTGTACCTTTAGTTACTTTACAGATTTTGATTAATGATGTCGTGAAATATAATCTAGACTTAAATAAGACTTTAGTTAAACCTGGAGTAAATTCACAATCTACCATGCAGTACACAGAGTAATTAAAACTAGTTGCACCTTGACCAGCTTTGATTACACTTTAATGCATCAATAATTATAATCCAAAAATATTATATATATTATTCTGAAATGGTCTAATTTGCATAATAAGTGCTTTTACTTTTGGTACTTCAAGTATATTTTGATGCTGATACTTTTGTACTTTTACTTGAGTAACATTTTGAATGCAGTGCTTTTACTTGTAACGGAGTATTCCTACACTCTAGTACTTTTACTTAAGTACAATCAATTAGTACTTACCATCTCTGGTTATCAACATGCCTCATTGAGTGGATAAGTGAGTATGATTAGGAAAAAAACGAAAACGAAAATCAGCATCACTTACCTTCCTCTTTACTATGTACTCTTCAAAATACTCTGCTTGATTTGAGACCCAGAACATGGTCACAGGAAAGGATAGATACAGCATCATCTGTCCAAAAACAAATGGACCGGTGAGTGAAACTGTTACAAGATGATCACTTAGCCTAATGTTAATGACTAGCTGGATTGAAACACGAAGCCTGGGGCAATTTGTGAGATTCTAAATCTTAAAATAAATACATATTCAACATATACGGACATTATTTGAAAAAAAAGTGCTACTCACTCGAAACACCTCTATTTTAACACCCATTTTCACATCGATAGCACGCCCACAGCAGCAAAATGTTATCTAAACTCCAACCATCGTCAAAGACCTTCACATAACATCCGGGTTTCTTCTTCGTCTTCTTTTGGAAACTATACCGCCACCCTCTGGATTGGAGTGTAGAGCAGTAGATTGGCAGATAATGAAACTAGCTAAAAACACTTAATTCTCTCTGGTTGCTCTTAAGACTATTTGTTACAGACTGAATACTTTCCGGGTTTCTTCTTATTTTTATTGTATTGGCAATGACATGGGGCAATACCTACCTACTCGAGTGTGGATCAGTAGGTTGGCAGAAAATACAAATGGACAAACATTTCTTCCCTTGCCAATTCCCTTATGTAAAACTGAGTATTTCCTCAGCTATTCCTGACATAAATTCCTTCTCTCATATTCATCCCTGTTGCAGTCTATTAATATATGATTTAGATTTTCTCTGAATGCTGTAAATATGTCTTCCTCTCTCTCACTTAGCCCAATATGTTTGCCAGGGTTTGCATAAGCTTTCACGATAGCTTTAACTTCTTTTTTACTTTGTCTAATTTCTCATTTCCTTATACCTCATAAGCAGGCACCCAAAAAAGGAGATTTTCAATGCCCTCTGATGTAAATAAGTAAGTAAATTCTCTGTCCGCATGACAACTTTCAGGACACTGGTTTGGTTATTTTCTTCAACCAACAACAATTTTGCAATGACAGAAGGTGGCCTGATGGTCTCTTTTTGTTACTGCTACTTCAAAAAGAAGGGACAAAGAATGCATCACCTGTTCACCCAGTCTTTGGTTCTTTTGAAGAGGAACATTTTGTTTTGATAATGGTCAATATAGTTCTGTGCCCTATACCAGTGTTAGTTATTCTTCAAGTTTAAGGGGCATACTTGTGCATTTTGATGGCATAATAACTCTCCACGGAGGTATTATTGAGTAATTCTAAATTAGACAACGACACATTGTTAAACGTTGACTCATAATGCTCCAAACACTCCAGCGTGAAGGTCTTTTTAGGATTGGGTATACAAAAACAAAATATTTAAATAAAAATAAATATATTTGTATGAGTGGCTGTCCACTGAGGGGCGCTGCGAACCATACTTTTTTCGAGATAGAACTATTTGTGGGCATTTTAGGTAAGAGTTGCAATTTTTACCCGCAGAGCCGTAAAGTAGCTCTTATCTATTTTCACTGAAAATAACTTATAAAACATCAAGGAATTTACAAGAATGTCAGTGTCACTTGTGATCGTGTATATCGTTTATTCTAAAAATAAATACAGGGAATTTTCTAAATATAATTTACTTTATCTTCCAACTCTTTGGAATAAATTAAGGTATCATTCAAATTATATTAGGGAAAATATACTACAGTTGTTTGCCAGTTATCCTGGTGCACACAGATATCATTTCTCCTCCGCTGCCACTGAAGTTGCAGCCCGTGATCGCCCGTGACACGCTCTTTACGTCCTCAGCGAAAGACCTACGCGTGACGTCACCGACAACGAGAGGTGTTCAGGATCCTCGGAGAGAAAGATCCCGCGCGCCCTGGTAACCTGATAAACCCAGGTAAACGCCGCTGTTTCAAACATTATTCTGCCAGTCATGTTGTCTCAGTAAACCGAAGGAGTAAACAGCAATAGAGACGGTAACGGCGGTGTAATGGCCTGAGAGGTAGCGCTGATGCCCGGCGCCCACTGAGACCGTTCACTTGCACGGCGGCCTGTTCTGGCTAACTAGCTTGCTAGCTAAAGCTAGTTGGCAGTTGTCTATTAAAAGACACAATAACCGCATCTACATTGTCTTTCTTTCTGACATTCCTTTCCTGTCGCACCAGCTGTTGGCCACAAATACGCTGTAAATAGCCAGACAAATGCTGCTACGACTACCGTGTTGGGCATCTATTGCTAGTTTGCTCGTCGACCGTCTTGTGTTGTGGGAGACGGTGACGCCGTCACGGTGATGATGGCGCACACTCAGACTGAGGCTATTTGATGAGAATGCAGTCAGTGGAGCAGATAACACACAATAGATATGTAATGTTCATTTTCCAAACCCTGTTGTCATGTTTCTGGAAACATGTCTGTATCCCCGAACGCTCTCAGCTCGGCTATGCATAGCACTGACGTCCATTACGAAACCCAGGCAATAATCTATGCCCTGTGGCCTAACGTTAGGATCTTGGCTCCTCGACGACTGTCGATCGCCAGTAGTTATTACTTTGCAGTTTCTCGTTTTTTCACCACATCTGGTTGTGATAGCTATCCCACACATATGTGTTTGGGCGTGCAGTGTTTATATGACTAATGTTACTACGGTGGGGCTATAACAGACATAAAGCTGTGGCATTCAGCCGACTGTGTGTTCAAACAGATTACTCATGCAGAGGCCCGTTACTTAGCATACTGTCCCTACTGTTTCCGTGTTTGGGGAATATACCATGTTATAGGCTTTAAACGTGTTATTTTATTTTGTAATGCTTGTCATTTCTATAGTAGTTAGAAGCACACCTAACGTCATACATATCTATCCAATGACAGACACTAGCACAGCAGCACTCACATGCTTGTTTGGATAGGCTTCTTTACCTGAAAAGACTAAAGCATTAAAGCTACTATAAATGGTAATCATGCATTTGCCAGTTTATTATACACAACTTTATATATATGTATGGAAACTAATACAATTCATAATTAAGTTGTGTGATTAGCTTGTCACTGATTAGGTATACGAACTGTTATCATTACGTACACTTTGCAAGTGTGTAAACAAAGAGGACACTGGGTCATGGGGCATGCAGTTACCAGGTATTCAGTAATCAAGTAAGCTTAGAGGTCCGTGCTATTAATAGCATTATTGCACATTTATTTTCCAAGATGAAATTGATCACCTGCAATATAATTGTGTTAGATGAATGTGACATAGTGCTAGCAGATACCAGACAGGGTAAGGGTTTGCAGAGTTGAGCTTATAGTTGCATATCTATAAAATGTCATTACTGATAGCTGTTGGTTTTTAATTTAAAACCTGTAAACCATTTGCAGCATTTAATAGTGTCTAAATAATAAAAAATGTATGTGTGCTAATTTTGGTCGTTTTCATGACCTACACTTAAAAAAACATACTTTTTCTTGCCACTGTTTTTTTCCCCCTTATTTTTTGTATTCCTCTTTTTTTGGTTCTGTTCTCTCTGCTTTAGTTTCCATGGTAACACCATCCTTGGCCTAGTTGTGAATGACCTCTAAAAGAAAAGGAGTGTGTAGTCAGGGAACAAATGAGCGTGCGAACAAAATCTGTGTGAGTGTGCTTAATTTATCACTTTTGAATCAATGGCAGGAGTGTCATGAGGCTTACCAGAACCATGTTACACCTGCTACTGCACAAACAACAAAGCAGAGCATGGACTTTTGGTGTTTTCTTAAGCCACATCAAATTGTCATAGGTGCCATATTGCGAAGCCAATATTGACTGTTTTGTTTATTGTTTTGTGATGAAAAACATTTAGATTGACTTTTAAGCTTATACCTATATTCTTTTCATTTCAACATCATGATTGATGGTCAACTTTTAAGGCTTGTTTTATTAGGCTAATCAGACATTCTAAAACCGTTCACTGTTTCCCGTTTGGCTGTTTTCTGTCACCCATTAAAGTAATTTTCAAAAATCCTATCATCATTGTATAGTCTGAGCTTTATTTATAGTGGGGTCTGGAGATATTACTCAGACCTATTACAACAATGTTCCAATGTACCTACTGCAGAAGCAAAATGCTATTTTATGAAAAGTGATTATTTCAAAATGCTCAGTAGTTGTCGCCAACAAACATGTAGTGTTTTTTTTGCTGGTGGACAAAAAAGTTACATTTGTACTCAAATGCCATATACTCTTAGTTGCTGTTGATATAAGGTCAAGACATGACTGCATCTTAACTTCCACTGTGCCAGGGTGTTTAACATTAACTGAACTGAACTGAATAATACTTGGAAGTCTCTTAAGTCTGGAACAGGTCCTAAATGTACAACTGGTAAATCTAAGTCTAAATATTTACTCTCCTTTTAGATCTAATTTAGATTTTTGTTGCCTAATGCTCCACTATGGACAACTGTTCGCTTAATGTGTCTTTGTGCTCGTTGGTGCTGAGTAGTAAATGTACAGTACTAATTGAAAAGTTGGTTTTCAGAGCCTTTTGCTAATAAATATGCTAATGAAAAACAGTTACGTTTGAGCTGAAACTCATTAAAAAAGCTCAAAAAAACTGAAGGAAGTACTAGATCTTGGTGATATGACCCTTTTATGTCCATCACATCGAGTGCCTCCTTTTACATGTAGCCAGATTAAGGACTTAAAGGTGACATGTCATGCTTTTCCGGTTATTACCCGTCCCCTTGTGTGTTATGAAGGTTGTTAGGCATGTAAACGGTGTGGAGAGTCAAAACCCTCAAAGTACACCCTGTAGGGAGTAAAACTCTAAAACAGAAAATACCTCCCCAAAACGCCTCGTTGGAGATACGTCACTGTCCATTTGATTCTTCCGGGGACATCATGATGTCATGTCGTCCCCGGAACGAAATGGACCAATCCGTGGAGCCGTTACGTCCGCGGAGCCGTTACGTTAAGCCCCCGCTGATTGGTCCAAATTGACCAATCCACGGACTTCCTCACACACTCAGTGCAAGCAGCTCTGCTGATCTCTCCTCCCTGGCTGCAGGCTGATAACAGACAGTTGGGATCGCGGCGAAATTCTCTCTGCAGACCCATTCTCACAGCGTTTATCAACCCTTTTCTGACTCAATATCAAGCCACACTTATTGTTCTTACTTCGGCGGTGACTTTGTGTGTGCTCAGGGTGAGTTTGGCTGTGTTTCGCTGTGTATCGCTAAACAAGGAAATCACACCTCCACGGAGCTTAGCGCGATTCACAACGTCCCGACTGGTCCCGACCAATCGGAGCACACTGGGCTCACAGGGGGGGGGGGGGGCAAGAGCTGCAACGAGCCGTTTAGTGGAGAGAGTGAATACACATACTTTACAGAGATGCTACATGAGAAACCAATGTGAGTTTGGAAAATTGCACAATATAAATCTATTCTAGTAGACCTCAACAATGGAATTATGATCAGTGGAAATGGCCATGACATGGGACCTTTAATACACAATTAAGGAACTTGAATATCTCTTCTAGAAGTGCATTGGTTAATAATTGTGAAGATAATTAAATGTGTACTCCAGTGAATCAGTTAAATATTGCCCTTCTGTAATGTTGGAAGTTAATTGTCAAAGTGAAATAGGTAGTGGTTGCTCGCAACACAAGTTTTTTTGAAGGGGAGTTGGTCATTATTGACCGTGTTCAGCGAGAAGTCGTGTGGCCCGGTGTTTCAGAGATGGCCCATCTCGTCTCGGCGGCTGGTTATACTGGTTTTCAAACTCTAGACGGCTCCCTAAAGAGCTAAACGAGATATGGTACAACTGGTATCAGAGTAATTAGTACTGAACTGTAATTTACTTTAATCACTGTAAATGTTTGAGTTTTAACTGCCTTCATATATTTCCTCATCATGGATGTAGTAATAAGACTGATTTGTAGCATGCGTCTAAATACACAAGTTTGTAATAGATGTACAGAGATTTCCAAGTTGTTCAATTAGATTTTCTGGGTTTTAAAAAACAAAACAACATTTTATAACTACAGAAGCATTCTTGGTTGGATTCAGTTAATTCTCATAATACTAGAAGGCTTTGGTTATTTGTATGACTTAGTATCTCTTTCACCACCCTTCTTCTTTCTACAGTTTTTTACAACGAATAACTGAATATATACAAGTGCACCATGTCAAGCTGGCAAATGGCCTGTTCCCTGTTTTCTCCACTCCCGTTCCCTGTAGAGTTCAGTTTCTCTGGTGCTCTGATGATTAATGGAAGCATCCAAGACTTTCTTGCAGAGTCTCATCTCTGTGTGCACTGCTGCCTCTCCATCTGACCCAACCCCCAATCTGAATGCAATCCTCTCCCTCGCTCTACCCGTTGCTCTCGCCATCATCCCTCGCTCCCTCCTTCCCTGTGTCTGAATACGATCCCCCCCCACTCTTCCAGTGACGGGGCCATCGGTTTGGCCTCCTGAATTGCTGTAGGTTGGAGCTTTTTCACTCTGGCAGCTGCTGTATTGTCTTTGGGAATGGTGCATATGGCACGTGGACAGCAAAGTGCGTCTGTGAGGATACTGTCAGTGTCTGGCTGCAGCACAGATCAGATTCTTTAAAGGTCCCATGTCATGGCCATTTCTACTGATCATAATTCCATTGTTGAGGTCTACTAGAATAGATTTACATTGTGCAATTTTCCAAACTCACATTGGTTTCTCATACAGCATCTCTGTATAGTATGTGTATTCACTCTCTGTCCTACATGGCTTGTTGGAGCTCCTGCCCCCCCCCCTCCCTGTGAGTCCACTGTGCTCTGATTGGTTAGCTCGCCCACTCTGTTCTGATGAGTCCACCACCGTTACAGCGGGACATCAGTGATTATGTGTTGCAATAGGCGCATTCAGACCGCAGTACTTTTCCCACAAAGGTTCATGAGAACTTAGTTCATGAGAACTCTTTTGTCGCGTTCACACCAAAAAGAGCCGGTACTAAAATTAGTTCATGAGAACCTTTTTACCCCCACGAAAGTCCCTGCTAGAGAGCAGAGAGCTGCTAGAGAGCAGGGACTTTCGAGCGGCTTTCTTGTGAGAAAAGAGCTATATTTCTGATTGGCTGGGCGGATTGCAAACCACGCCCCGTAAAACTCCCAAAAAGTTTTGTGAAGCCGCCATTTTATTATCCTCTCATTAGCATTATTAGCATTAGCATTAGCCCAGCGCAGAAACGCAGAGAGACTAACTTATGGCAACACAAAATAAAACATGGGAGCGGTGGAGATTAGGAGGTGTCGGCGTTCTGGCGATTTACTCGGAAGGCTTCAGTAGAAGCTGCTGGGACTCCCAGCAGCTTCTACTGAAGCCAGTCCCCAACTCCGGGGACTTCCGGCCGGGGACTTTGGGCGGCAGTATACGCCGTGAAGTGGTTTGCGGCCTGCCAGTAAACCCAAAGCAGAAGAAGAAGAAGTGACGTCAGCGGCTTCATTTACCTAATCCACCCCCAGGGACTTATTCCGGTGTGAACGCGATCTGTACTTAGTTCATGAGAACTAAAGAGTTCTCATGAACTAAGTTCTCATGAACCTTTGTGGGAAAAATACTGCGGTGTGAATGCGCCTAATGGCGTCAGCAACCAGAAAATGACACCAGTAATGACAAACCGATGAGAATGCTGCGTGGGGTCTGGGTGCCGTGTTGGCGGGACGTTGCGCGGCTCGCTGCTGCGAGGAGCGGACAGTGTGAGCTGGGTTCATTTCCTGCTTGCTGCGTGGGGTCTGCGAGACAGCGAGACATCGCGAATGGACGCGGGAAGGGGGGGGTTTATCTACCCATGCTACCTACTGGGCTTTGCCTTGAGCTAGCAGTGCCCTTAACTTCCCTTTGCCCAGGCTCCACTTGCACCCGCATCCCCCCGCACCCCCAAACACAGTGTAAGCGTGTCACAGTTTCACTGCTGAGAGTGTGTGTGTGAGGAGCTCCATGGATTGGACCAATGGGTCCATCCTGGGTACTTCACCATACCCAGGAAGAAAAAAACGGAAAAAGAAATCTCCAACGAGGCGTTCTGGGGCAGCATAGACAGGTATTTTCTGTGTTAGAGTTTTACTCGCTACAGGGTGTACTTTGAGGGTTTGTGACTCTGCAGACCGTTTACATGCAGAAAAACCTTCATAACACACAAGGGGACGGGTAATAACCGGAAAAGCATGACATGGGACCTTTTTAAATTGGTAAAACCGAGTACCAAGTATACCTGAGTATACAGTGATCTGGATATCTCACCCATTGCTTGATGTCTTTGGCTTTTGACATAGGACTAATTATGAAACAGTGTGCTTGTTTGCATGCACATGAGACTTCAGATTGATTGAGAGGTCAGCGGTCAAACTACCTCTGGTTTTGTTTGTATAATGGTTGGGTGATTGTTTTGATATACTACTTTTTTGGATACTAAATGACATATTTCATGATTTATGGAGTTGCTTAAATTCAATGTCAAGAATATGCTCATCATCCAACTGTTGCCTCTCACTTACCCTAAGATTGGTTAAAGTTGTCTCTTACTGAGTCTTCGGCAGGCAATTTAAATGTGTTACTTTAGAAGAGTCAAAATGCAGCAATGTCATGCGGGTTGGATGATTGGAGTCATTGGGGTGTCTGTAGGTCACATCTGTCGTTCGAAATATCTTGCTTTTTGACTCCTTCCTGGCACTTAGGCTTACATATATTCCCCATCAGACATGTATTGAAAGGCTGCATTTACTATCACTTCTGTTGTATTGTATGTTATTATATGGTACAAAAAGATTTCTTGGTATTACCTGTCCTACAAAGAATATATTTGATTTAGTGAATTATGAATATTCTAACATTGCTTGAGACGATTTGACATAAACAAATATTCCCATAGTGCTAGGGCTGCTCAATTAATCGTATTTTAATCGCACTTAGGATTATGGCTTGCAACGATTACAAAAACAACGTAATCGAAATGCAACGATTATTTTTTTATTATTTATTATTATTAATTATTTTTTGTATTGGTTTTTCAGTTGAATTATACTTAAAGTTCAGGGTAATCAACTGTTAAAAACATACTGTTCAAAAAAATTGTCGTGATATCAATTATTGACCCAAATAATCGAGATTATGATTTTTGCCATAATCGAGCAGCCCTCCGTAGTACTTCTCTTCGTTAAGTGTGGTCAACATGCTGTCAGGAACATCTTTAGTGGAGGCTGCTGTGCCACAGGAAGACACGCTCGGTGGTCCCACAGTTTTAAAATCCAGAAACTTGTTTCAATTGTTCATTCAATAGCTTGATCGTTACGCTCCCCTATGTTATGGCGTGAATTTAGATTAATCACACTGAATACTTAAACTGTACAATGTCTTGGCTCTGCTTTCAACCTAGATATTGGTGGCATAGTGCACATAGTAATTAGCTTCTATTACTATGTTTAATATGTCTATATGTCTTTCTTGATATGAGTTGCTTAAAGGTGGGGTATGTAATTTCTTTCAGAAACACTTTTTGTTATATTCCATGGAATGCTCTTAACATCCCGATAGCAATGAATATATTAAATGCTTTGACAATGAATACATTGAAAAAATGTCATCTGTGGAAGCCTTAGTGCTGTAAAAAGCACGGCCAATCATTTTAGCCGGCCCGGCTAAAATAACTGGATGGCCTACCTGCCTGTCAGCCTTCCATCTGTGCACAAACTTATCTCGTGCCCTCATTGGTCATGTACCGTTTGTGTTGGAGGAGGGGCTCTGTACGGAAGTGGCAGATTTGTTCCGGTTGTGTACTTTCAAATTCTAGCGCACTCGAGCTGGTTTCTCCAAAATTACATACCCCACCTTTAATTGTAATTTAAGTGTCCAAGTCATCAACCCCACTTGTAATTTTCCCCCCAATTTTTTGAAAAATAATTATACATGTGGTCCAATATGAAAGGTTTCCCCCCCGGAACAACAGTTATGTAGCATTTTTTGAATTGATGTAGCCCAGCCACGATGCGAATGTGAGTGGTATACGAGTGGTGGATGGTAAGCAGATAAGGGAGCCCTTAAATTGGTGGGGGAGGCATACACAAGACCGCTATGACGGAAGTGAGTGAGTGGGGGTGGGGCATGATGAAATGGACTAAGGATAAGAAAGGAAGGGGGTGGGGTGTTAAAGGTAAGAGTGTGAGCAAGAGAGATGAGTGAGGAAGGACCTCAAGCTATTGATGGGAAAGAGGGGAGGGGTGGAGTGAGCGAGAGAGGGAGGGAGGGGTGTGTGGGCTGAGGCTCCACTGAATGAGGAAGCAGCAGAGCCATTTTTACTGTTGAGTAACTGCATGCTGGTCTGGCTGTGCTAGGGAGGGCGAGAGAGTGAGCTAGAGGAAAGAAGTGCTCCTGAATCTTATCGGAGCCCTCTCTCCCCTCTCTCCCGTTCCCCTCCTTGCTTTCCGCTTGTGTCCATTTAAGTTGGGGAGGCCCTGGAGAGGACACACAATGGAGCGAAGAGCCTGTGGCAACTGGGCCGTTGTACTGCTGAGAGGGGGATGGGGTGGAGAGAGGACCGGTTCACACAGCTAACACAGCCTGCCGGCTGTAGGCTTCCACAGCCTTCCTCCCCGCCTGGACCCCTGTTTTCAGGCTGGGGCCTTTATTGTGGAACGGCCACCCTCAAACTCCGCTTGGACTATACTAAGGATTATTCATCGTCTTCTGTCGGATTTTAGGATTCATGCTGGAGCCTGAAGAATAAATCCCTCCTGTGTTTTGGCTTCTGAGAAAAGAGAAACAAACTTCTATGTAATTCTTCTTGCCCTTTCTCGGTTTTTGGTTTCTTTTTCTTTTTAGTGGACTTCGTAAATGGATTACAAGATGCATGCCAAATCCAATGATTTGCTGGATTTTCAAAAACTGGACGCCCTTCTGGAAAAAATTGCACATTCAGTCTCTGTGAAAAGGTAATGTTATTCATTGAGGTAGACTCTCCTACACATTTTTTAGACATTCAACAATCCCTGACGTCTTAAAAATCCCACATAGACAAATGATTATCAACTGAAATGAATGATTGTTTAAGAAACGACAAGGTTAAAGTAAAGAAAGCCTTAGGTAATAGTTATTGGGACTATCATGTGGTTAGCACTATTTCTAGTTGTACATCTCCATCACGATTTGTTGTCTTGATATAAGTATTGTTAACCAGATTTCAGCCAGAATCTTCTAACCTACCTCCTGGTGAGAGAGGGGTGTGTGGGGGAAGGGGGAGTATTGAGGAAGAAGGGGGGTTGTGTGTGTGGCAGTTGTAGAAATGTCTCCTGATTCCTGGCAGGGTTTGTCCTGCTCATCCTAACCAGCTGGAAGTTGAACCTGGCACGGCGGCCATGAGTCTTGCCTTTTCCCGTGTATGACTCATGGCTAGTCTATTTGAGTCACTGTTGCTCATTCACTGACTCATAGAGCAAGTTCTTCTTTTAATCAATACAGGAAGGAGAACTCATTTAAGTTTACGAACGTGTTACGTATGATTGGAACCAATGGTTTTTGACTCAAATACCCGTAAGACAAATGTAAACAAAGTGTGCTTTACCTGGGGTTTGTTTATAAACCCACTCCAGTCCCACAGGCCATGGATGATTGCTAGTGATTTGGTAAGCAACCAAAAGTATGACTTCGAACCATCGAGGATAAAAATACAGTTGCCAAAGTGTGGAGTGTTACCATAGAAACGTGGGTCAGATTTATTTGTCATAAAGCCAGGTTCCAGAGATATTCAAATAAGGTAGCAACAGACCAACCACACATGATACAAGGGAGTAGTTCAACTTGCGACATACTTAATGTGAAATATCTTTGGTTTATAATAGTTTGTTTGGCATAACTGAGCCCTACAGTGACTTTTGAGATTATTATTATCAAGAGTGACCTTGGTATTTCCAGGATTTCTATACATACCGTCATCATTTTTACATTTGTTGGCAGCAAACCAGTTTTATTAGAGAACAAAATGCCCTGACACATTAGGTCGACAGTCTACCTTCAGATGTCTTTGGGATGTAGTTCAGAGTGTGTGGGGGGCCATTGCCCAGGATCTTTGATTACATAACGGCATCTTTTTACCTCAGCGTTTCTTTCATATTAATAATGTGTGCCTTCATCATAGGTTCCTGTCCCACCTGTTCACACTCTAGTTGCTGAAAACACCCCCGGGGATTCAGGACGAATATTGTACGTACTTTCCATAATATCGGTGGAGGCCTGCATTTTTTTATTTACCCTTATTAGATCTTTGCTATTGGGCTTTATTCTTCAATGAGGTATAAAGATCTCTACCTCCATTCACCTTATTGGTGTATTTAAGAAGAAAGTGTCCATTATGTTTACAAATAATGCCACAAACTAAGAGCATCAATGGAATCACTACATTGGTGTGGAATGACAGGCGGAGTGGAGCTTCTCTGGAGAATGGTTGTTGATGGTTTTATGAAAGAGTGGAGAGGCTGGTGATAAGCAGGGAGTGGTGCTCTTGGCCTCGTCACTGTGGTGTGGTCCCATTAATAATGTATTCCTTTGCTTTCAGGCAAAACACAGGCCATCATGCCGACACTTAGAGGGGGTCTCAAGTGTAATCTGCAGGCTTATATTTTCGCCTGAAATCACCCCCCACTCCTTTTATGAATGATTTATAGTTTACTCGCAAGCGTCTTGCTATTATGTTCCTCTCCTCTTTCCATGTAGGACAGTCGAGGCGGCACATATGACCAGATGTCCTGGTGTGAGATGTGCATCCCCCCCCACCCCCGTAACTAGAGCTACTTCCTCCCCAGGAAACATTCCAGAGCATTCTGCAGTGATGTATGTCCAGGTCAAAGGTCAACTTGTAGTCCTGAGCTGAGGGTTGTGAGACATGCAGCAACAGGAAGTGGACCTCCTGGTTGACCTCTGTTTGGGGCTGCCGCAGACACTGTTAGTCTCACATGCCAAGGACCGCAGGTCATTGAGAGTTTGCTTTTTATTCATCATAAACACCGGCTGACATCAACATCACATATTACTTGAAGTTAAAGTAAATACAAATATCCCAATATATCAACAAACCTTAAATATATTTTCAGAGTGTTTTAAGCTTAAAATGTGCAAGTTATTGTTTAGCTTGAGAGAGACAAATACTTCTTGAATGTTGACAATCCAACCTGTTTTGACTCCACTGCCATAGCTCCAAGTGTGTCGTTAAAGATATAGAGTGCAAGACCACATATAATACGCCTCCATGTCAAACTAAATCAGACAATATGAAAGAAAATATGAACACAATCCAACTCCTTAGACATAATAACGTCGGCACATCAGAGGCACAGACTTTGTCTTTAACACGTCAAGCCTAAAGCAAAGTCCTGTGGTGATGAGAGACATTTAACACAAACTCAGTTATTAAGACATTTTAAAGGTTGTCATGCATACATGGTTGTGATGTAATATATTACACAGGCCACGCTTTGTTTTCACTTCTGGAATTGAGGCAAAGCATTTTGTTTCCACCACCGCTAAGTGGGACGGACAATAATACCTCTTGTGTTGATGAAATGTTCTTCAATCACTAGCAAAATATTGCGACGTACAGTTATGCGGTCACATGGAAATATTGCAATGGTAAGAGGTCAACTGCCTGTTGCCCCTTAACCTGCAGTTAAGTTGGTATCAGATGTATAACACAATACTTGTGTTTTCAGTAGAAATGAGATAATAATTGATAAGGCTTAGTATACGGGCAGAAGATAACTAAAGTCATTCTTTTCAAGGGTATCTCTCAAAACGTAATGTTATGTCTATAAGAAGTACAGCACTTGGTCCAGCTGCACTGCTAGGCTACATGAAGGCTGATTACCTATCTGAGGGATGACCTTGGTGACAGGTTTATGTCACACACATCATCTAGGGGTGTAACGTCAACTTGGATCAACAAATACCTTAAATGATCACCAATCCAAAATCTTCGATTTGAAGTGAAAACTTCCAAATATATCATCTCGAAGATACATTTTTGTTTTGAAATTCACATGCTACATCTGCGTCGCCATTTCTGTCCGAACAAGTAATACACATTTTTAATTTCATTTGAGTTGCTTAACAAAGCTTGGATATAAGTTTCTTGGTCACCCAAGGCTTGATACAGATACAGTATCTGTTGTACTGAGTCAAACAACCTTTTCTGACCTTCGTTCAAGTGCCATACCGGCCATCATTAAGAATGCATCATGGTAGTTCCACGTGCTATCAATGACATGTGCATGTTGCATGGAGAGACCAAAGTGTATAACCTTATAATTAAAACCTGTCTCCCTTTTCATGACAGACAATGTCAGATTGTCTTGCATCTCAATATTGTTCACGAATATTTAGAATGACACGGCACCAACAGGCCAAGCTATTAGTAGTACCATCCATAGGACCGCAAGTTAGACTGCAGGGAAGCCTGACGAATTAGAAAGCCAGCAAGTCTCTTTAGATATACCTGTATATAAGTACAGATGCCTGCTTAGTTCATCCTCCCTCATTTATTGAATCTATCTCTGTGTTCCCTGAAGTGTGTTTACACTTATTGTTATTGCAGTTCTGCTATGTCAACGACTATCGCTGCGAGTGTGCCTGTTGTTAATGAGCTGTTAGAGACCATCTGGCGGTATGTGTGTGATGATAATTCGCTCCATGCGGCACTGAAGGCCAGCCGGAACAGGCTTATGTTGTGGCTAACTTTTACCTTGTCCTCGTGGAAGATGTCCTGTAGTGGTTGCTCAGAAGCTGTTCATGACGTACTTGTGTCTGTGTTGCTCTCCTAGCTGTCTGTACTGTACCTGGCAGTGTGTTTCTGGTAAAGGCCGCGATCATTCCGAGCAGCTGTTTCTTCTGTGTCCTCAGTCGACTTTGATGCATTTGCTCAAAACATTTCCCGGAACATCTTCCTTTCATTGTGCCAATAAGTCAGCATCCTTACACAATTACAGCCTTGATAGGGCGATTGCACCTGGAAGCTTTTTGTTTACGTGCAGCAGTGTTTGGGCAGAACAAGTCATTTGTGTATGATTTTAATCCTGACCTGAAACCTGAGTCTTTCACATTTTAATTTGAACAAAAGGCTCTTTGTAAACATAGGTATTTATAACGTCAACAGACGCACTCACATACTCTACACTAAGTAACCAGAAAAATACAAACTGTAATATGCTGTTATTCAATACAGTACAATACATCTGCAATAAACTTCATATCACTTTTGCCCCATACATGTATAGGCTATTGTGTGTTGATGTTGGAATATACTGCATTATATCATATCAAAATGGTTCTTGATATATAACTCTAGCACATATGGAAGATCAAAGTATTATAACACCAGTACAAAGTCATCTTTAATTAAATGTACTAAATGATTCCCAATAATTCGCAGGTAGTATTTACATTTGTATATAATTGCATTCAAATGTATCTACAAATGTCCCTTTCTTTAAGGTGGGCTACACAAATAAACCACAAATGATGGGTGTTCAATTATAAAAATGGTTTGATTTTTTTCAATAACTCAAAAGACTAAATTATAATAGGAAATAACATTTGAATTGTCTCAAAATCAAATAAGAAGTGTTGGAATGTGATCCCTTTTCAGGACATACTTTAGCCATTTGTTCTCTTTAATCACTGAAGTTATAAAAATGTCCTCACTGACCCTTCTATCTCTTTTATGACAAAAAACAAATTGAAATATAGTGGTTATCAATATTCAAAGACTTAAGCAAATACCTAAATAACTTTTGTATTTCTCAACTCAGCCTCTGCCTTGGTGCTGGTAGAAACAAACAAATCACATGCACTGCAATTGGAAACACATTTTGAGTATTGTTTTGTTGACAAATAGTGATCAACTGTCATAGTCTTGATGGTAAATACTAATGGAAACAAAGGTGGAAATATATCCAGCAAATTGGATTGTATCGGAAGCCGTCCAGTGCAATCTCTAAAACAAGGCAGCGATACGTACTGACGTGTCGTTCAAATACCGGTCTTCTACAGACAGCCTGTGATACCTGTGAACGTACTCCTCCATAACAGACAGGAATGACAGGTTCATCTGGAAGTCAATATACTGAGGCGACTCCTTTAAATGGTATCATTCGTTGAAGCCAGTTGACAAAAGCAATGTTTTCCATATTTCAATTGTTCACATTCATGCCTTCGACAAGTTCTGTGCTTATTTATTCGCGGTCTTATTTGTCAATCTTTTTGCTTTCGGCTTCAAAAGTACCATCTGTGATGATCTGGTGCTGTTACCTTATTGGTCATTCAGATTCTCCACTGTGTTTAAAGCCCTCAGGGCAGCGATCATGTGGTGTACAAACTGCTTCCCTCTTCCCATGAAGTGACTCATGAAGAATGAGATTAGTCACAGATATATACTGTGGTGTGTATTTATCTTGAAGTTGTGGGGGTGGACTTCAGTGTTCCAGACTGTGAGACTAACTTGTCTCTAATACAGGCCAGAATACACAACCTTTATGATCAGTGCTTTTTACTGAACACTGTGGGTTCCCTAGACAAGTATACCTCATATCAACCGTGTTGTCTTTCGAGCCTTGTGTGTGTCTTGAATGTGATGTCCATGACTGGCTGTGAGGGGCCATAGTTTATGACTGAGAGCTGTGTAGCAGATCACACAGTTGTCGTCGTCACCCCCCCCAGCTGCCACTCTCATTTGCTCTCACCCTGCACCCTCTGTCCGCCCACATCCCTAAGCACTCCCAGTAACTGAGACAGAGTAGTTAATCAAAGATCTACTAAAAACACACACTGCTAGAGCCAAACCTTAAACTCCTTGCTCTCCTGAATACACTGCATTTACATTTGAAAATGTATCAATATCAGCAGTAGGATGATATCAACTTTTATCAATTTTGTGAACTGAATAGAATTGGGATTTGAACTCTTAAATGGGCAAAAGAAGATGTTTTATGACTTTTTGTGGATAAGAACCTCACTCTTTAAAACATGTAGGCTGTTACTCAACCAAATAATTAATCTATTATATAAATGTTCAGCAGGGTTGCTTGGCAAATATTGTTATAATGGTAAAGTTGGTCACAATTACTCGCATTAAACATTACAAACAGATTTGTAATCTTTAACAGTGGATTCTCTTTGGCTCTCTTTCCATCGTCTTGGTTTGAGCTGAACTAAAGACGTCACAGCAATGTCTGAGAGGGAGTTAGGGTATTTAAGAAACGTTTCTCACAGTCTTCCCTGAGTCTCTGGCCCTAGGAAGAGGGCAAGGAGTGTACAAAAAAAGTTTGGACTGGAGCCGCATGCCACTTGTAGCTTACGTTTTGCTTTATATTTCAGCTATTGTTGTCATGATGGCTCTCAGACACTTTTTCTTACTGTGTGTGTGGGGTCTTGATTTTCTCCCAGAAAAGAGAGTTGAGAGCTCTGCCAGGTTCATTATTATCTGCATCAGGACATCCCAGAGAGTAATATCACACTCATAACGAGGGGTACAAAAAAAAACTCAACAAAAAAATGATTTTGTGGTATGCTGTTTGATCCCATCAGTCGAATTGTCTGTAGCTGCTCCAAACAGCCACCATCAAAAGGCACGGTGAAAAACCGTCCATTATGGAGAGTGGCAAGACACAATGAACCATTCATTGTAATCTAAATTGTTTCACTTGGTTGTACATGAAAGAAGCTAGACTGAACAATTAAATGTAATGTTTTTGAATATGCTAATGACCGTTTGCTTTTCTCCTCTCCCCAGAGAGTCCAGTGAGGAGTGCAATGGGATCAGCGGTGCTCTGTCAGTGGAGTCTGTGCCGGGGCCAAGACTGAGCTGGTGTCCTGCCAACACCACTACCCCTGCCCCTGCAGCTCCAGCTCCTGCTCGGGGGACTGAGCCCGCGCCCCACCCTGTCAGAATGGGAGACGGCCTGGATGCAGCGCAGATGTCGGGCAGCAACAGCAGTAGCAGCAGCGGCCAGGGGCAGGCCCAGCAAGGTGGCAACCCCCCACCCCCAGAGTACATCAATCCCAACAGGCCAAAGCGCCAGACCAATCAGCTGCAGTACTTGCTCAAGGCGGTGGTGAAGGGCCTGTGGAAACACCAGTTTGCCTGGCCCTTTCTTATACCAGTGGATGCGATCAAACTTAACCTGCCTGTGAGTACTTTGCCTCTGTTTGTACGACGCAACCTACCTTCAACTTTCATCAGGGCATTACTAAGGCGCACTCAGACTGCAAGCAAAAGTTGTTTGAATCAAATCGTTTTTTCTTGCACATATTTGACTCGGATCATTATTATTTATAAAAGTGTGAACAAGACAAGGAATCGGATCTTCTCAGATTTGGGCTACTATTTGTTGTGTTGTGTCTCAATTGCGTTCTCACTCACTTTTATGCAACCCTTTTTCAGGACTACTACACAATAATCAAAATTCCTATGGACATGGGAACAATCAAGAGAAGGCTTGAGAACAGTTACTACTGGAATGCCCAAGAATGTATCCAAGACTTCAACACGATGTTTACCAACTGCTACATATACAACAAGGTGACATATTTGTACACTGGAGCTCTTGTTAACATAAAATCCAAAATATTTTCAAATGCCTCCACTTTTGCTAACTGTGTTTGTCTCCCCCTGCAGCCCGGAGATGACATAGTCTTAATGGCTGAGTCTCTGGAGAAGGCTTTCCTCCAAAGGGTCACAGAAATGCCTCAGGAAGAAACTGAGATTGTTGTCATGACAGGGAAGGGGCGTGGCCGGGGCCGAAGAGAAGGAAGTATGAGATTTTCTGCTTCATCTTTTGCTAACGGTGTTCTTGAAGCTGGAGATGGTATATTTAACCTAATGTCTTGTTTTCTCATCAAGGTCTGAACTTGAAACCAGGGGGCATCATTGATTCTTCGTCCACGATCCCTCTAACACGTGGTGTGTCGAACCTCTCGGCAGCACCACAGATCAGGGGACCGGTGCAGGGCCCGCCTTCACTACCTCCCCAGCCTTTGATGCAGGCCCTGCCGTCCCACATGCCCCCCACGTTACCCAGCCATGCGCCACAGCTCGGAGCCCCCTACTCGATGGGCCACTCAGACTGCGCTCCTCAAGTTCCCATCATGACTTCTGTGCCTCCCCCTGCTCAGACCGCGCTTCCCCCAGCATCCATCCAGAACGTTGCACCCATGCTGCAGAACCCCATTACCATGACCAAAGTGAGTGTGATGTTCGAAAAAGCAGAGATGGCAAAAGTAAACACATCCTTTACTCAAGTAGAAGTACAGATACTCATGTTTAAAAATACTCTGGTAAAAGTAGAAGTACTGACTAAACTTCTATACTCAAGTAAAATGAAAGAAGTATGGGCTTCCAAGTAAAAAGTACCCATAACTACCATCTGTTTTAAAGAGTAACTGACCTCCCTTTATATTAATAGAACAATGATGTCATTGTTAGCTAATGAATGTTTCCATGCTGAACAACGGCAACATGACAACGTTCTCATTGGTCCCTCTTCTTTAGAGAAAACCAGGAAATGATGGATACACGGATCGTGTTCAAATCAATAAGCACGCACTGACTCTAAATAATAATGATCACGCCACCAAACACAGAATCAAACTAAAGGAACCAGCCTGTTTGGAAAATGTAAGAAGTAGAAAGTACAGGTATTTGTGTTCAAAATGTAAGAAGTAGAAAGTACAGGTATTTGTGTTCAAAATGTAAGACGTAGAAAGTACAGGTATTTGTGTTAAAACTGTAAGAAGTAGAAAGTACAGGTATTTGTGTTAAAACTGTAAGAAGTAGAAAGTACAGGTATTTGTGTTCAAAATGTAAGAAGTAGAAAGTACAGATATTTGTGTTAAAAATGTAAGAAGTAGAAAGTACAGGTATTTGTGTTCAACATGTAAGAAGTAGAAAGTACAGATATTTGTGTTCAAAATGTAAGAAGTAGAAAGTACAGGTATTTGTGTTCAACATGTAAGAAGTAAAAGTAAAAAGTCGTCAGAAACATAAGTAGTGGAGCAAAGTACTGATAACAGAAAAATGTACTTAAGTACAGTAACGAAGTATTTGTACTCCACTACTTCCCACCTCTGCTAAAAAGTATAGATGGAAGTTCTTTGAGGTGCCAACTAGAATACTGCTTTGAAATGCTGGAGGAGAGGGGAGTTTAAAATGTGTCTAAGGCAATTAAATGATTGCCAACTTATTTTAACCACTGATTTCCTGGCCCTTTTTCACCATCTCTCTGCTCTCCTTGTATTCACTTCTATCTAGATAAGAAAGAGCCAGAAGAGGAAAGCTGACACCACCACTCCCACAGCAAATGACCAACTGAGTGAGTCTTCACCAGCAGAGTCCAAATCTGGGAAGACCCTACCCAGGCGAGAGAGTGCGCGGCCTCCTAAACTGTTGAAGAAGGAGGCTCCTGACTCCCAGCATCACATCGGCATGGTGATGGGACTGAGTGGACCAAGTGGCGGTCACAGCCCCAAACCACAGGATCAGCTAGGATACTGTGCAAGTGTGGTCAGGGACATGCTGTCCAAGAAGCACGCTGCTTATGCCTGGCCCTTCTACAAACCTGTGGATGTGGCTGCGCTGGGACTACACGATTATCATGACATCATCAAGTATCCTATGGACCTCAGCAGCATCAAGGTGAGATTAGACTGCATTATTCATTATAGTTTCATAAGATATTTACAAAGAGTCATTTCAGGCATTGGCAAGTAACTCATTTGAATGTTCTTAACAGTTGAAGCTGGAGAACAGGCAATACCGAGAACCCCAGGAGTTTGCTGCTGACGTACGATTAATGTTTTCCAACTGCTACAAATATAATCCTCCAGACCATGAGGTGGTTGCCATGGCCCGCAAACTGCAGGTGAATATATAGGCTGACATGCAAACAAGGTTCCTGTCGTAAAAAAGGGCAAGCATAATTCAATAAATGGACAATTCCATGTTATAGTAAGAAGTCAATACCATAATGTTTGTAATACATGTTTTGTAAGCTAGATTGTCCAATGTTTGAACTGATAGAAAAGTGAGCAACAATTAAAGCTGTCACTGGTAACCTTTGCAGGAAAATCTATTTAGGATCATTTGTTGATCACAACGTTTGCTTAAAATGTGTAAGAAAGAAAATAATATATGAATTTAAAGTAGAACATAAACACTTGTGCCAGGATGCTATCGAAGTGTTATTGTAGTATATAAGTATTATTTGTTGTTGTGGAGTGTTTCGGTCTCTTTCTACAAACATTCACTTTGTGTTTCTGACTTGTTTGTTTCTTCTCATTTCATAGGATGTCTTTGAGATGCGCTTTGCCAAGATGCCAGATGAACTGGAGACCAAGCCTCTGGTTCTCCCCCCAGCTCCTGTACTTCACCACCCTGCACCAGTTAAGCCCCAGCCTCCTCTGGCCCACGTGGCCTCGTCTTCAGACAGCTCCAGTGACTCGTCCTCCGAGTCCGAGTCTTCCACAGACGACTCTGAAGAGGAGAGAGTCCAGAGGTTAGCAGAGCTCCAGGATCAGGTCAGTGACCGGAATACATTTACGGTGGTGGAACACGTGTTGTCTGGTCCTTGTTGCCCTTTTGTTGACAGCTGGTCTTTTCTCTGTATACAGTTGAAGGCTGTCCACGAGCAGTTGGCTGCCTTGTCCCAACCACAAGCCAGCAAACCAAAGAGAAAAGAAAAAGAGAAGGAGAAGAAGGAAAAGGAGAAGGAAAAGGAGAAGGAGAAGAAGAAAGAAAAGCATAAGAAAAAGGGAGGTATGTCTGGCCATGTGGATGAGATCCAGGATGCAACACCTGTCCCGCAGCTCTCTAAGAAGAACAAGAGCAGAGACCATAACAACAAGGACAGTGCACCAAGGAAGAAATCTAGGTAGCTTCTACACCTTATTACCTTCATGTAATACCTTATTAAACTCCTTGAAAGTAAATGTTTGTATAGCCATTAGCTTGGCATTGCACAATTCAGTGTTATCTTTAACCAATTCTGATTTCGCTTTCCTGTTATGGCTTTATGGTTCTCGGTGAAATTGTGGCCTTGGTAGAGAGTCATTTTCTCAGGTTCACACAGTTTAATGGTTGTTGAGAGATTTTATTTTAGATTCTTATAATGTTTAATGATTGTTAGGGGATTTTATAATGTCTTCATCCCCTGTAGAAGTCTATATGTATCCATTGTTAGTTTTAATGCATTTGAACATTATTATGAAAGCTATTACGTAAACATAGGCTTGTCATTGTTATAAATACCTACGTTTTAAAATGTTCTTCTTCTTCTAGTAAAAAGGAAGCGATGAAACTCAATCATCCCACCAACCTGCTGCTAGTTCCCAGCCTGGAAGAGGATCTGGGAGCTGCTGGGTCTTCGTCCTCAGGGGAAAAAGGCAAGCCTATGACGTACGAGGAGAAAAGGCAGCTCAGCTTGGACATCAACAAGCTTCCTGGGGACAAGCTGGGCCGTGTGGTGCATATCATCCAGTCCAGAGAGCCTTCACTCAAAAACTCTAACCCCGATGAGATCGAGATTGACTTTGAGACGCTAAAGCCTTCCACTCTGCGCGAGCTGGAGAGATACGTGTCTTCCTGCCTCCGCAAGAAGAAGAAGTTTCCAGGTAAGCCTCTCTAAGAAACCACCAAGGGGAGCTGGCCCCGAGTTTAAACAGCTGTGTCTAATTGTTTAGTTTACTTACTGTTTGATTCTTTATTGGAAATGTATGAACAAATAGTTGTTACTTTGCAGCTGAGAAGCCTGTGGAGTCCATGGCTACCTCCAAAAAGACTGGTTCCTCCTCAGAGAGTAGCGGCTCCAGCACAGACAGCGAGGCTGAAGCGACAGGTGACTTAAATTGACAGTTAAAATGGCCACATCAAAAAAAAGAAAAATGCAAAAGTGCTTCATCTTTATTTTCACATTTTCCAGGAATAATAAAGCATCAGAAGAAAAAGGGCCACTCTGCGAAGGAGGGGAAGAAGCCTCATCCTCATTTACACATTCAGAGTGGCCCGGCTCAGGCTGGGCTTCATTCCCATATAGCAGGCCTTCAGGCTAGCATCCAGATGAAGCAGCAGCATCAGCCGTCTCCTGCAGGCTTCACCGCCCCCCCCGTAGCTGCTCTGGAGTCTTCCCAACTACTGGAAACTAGCTTCGAGTCCCTGCCGCCTTTCGGCCAGCCCCTCATGCATCTGTCCCATCACCAAGGCAACTCCCAATCCTCACCCGCAGCTCCACATCTCAATGCTCATTCTGCTGGGCCAGTGTCCCCTGAAACCCACCCCTTCCTCAACCAGCATCCCGTCCTTACGTCTCCGGGTAAGGCCAAATGTACGCCAATCCATTTTTTTCTTTATTCTAATTATTTAATGCCACTCAAATGTTGTTTTGTTTTTATCCAGTGAACTTTGGTTTTCATTCTCTTTCTATGACCTACAGTTTAAAATAATAAACATCCTGACAAAAAACTCAAATCCATCCATATTCCTGGATGAACTTTCTCATACGTCATTAAACATTTAATAGGACTGCTGTGATCTATTACTTTTTTGTTTTAGATTTTCACTCCCCACTTTCAGCTGTTCAGAAAAGATTGAATGAAGCCGAGGTTTCTCCTGTTGTAGTGTCTGCTATACACCAGTGGGTTAGAATCAGTGTCTCATGTCCCATCACAGTGGAGAGCACCTTTATAAATGTCTTCTTTGTTTTTTGAATTCCCTCTAAATAAAATGTAAAAGATGAACATTAGAAAGATATTTTTGTTACCACAAATGTGTATTTCTTATATTTTTGTTTCTTTCCTGACTCTGTGCACCCTTAGCCTTGCACATCTCCATGCCTCAGCAGCCTTCCCGACCCAGTCACAAGGCGGCGCCTCTTCATCCAAAAGCCCCTCAGCAGCAAGCAGCACCCCCCCAGCAGCAGCCCCCCATGCAGCAGCAGCCCCCCCCCCAGACAGCAGCTCCACCACCACCACAGCACCAGCTTCCCCCCCAGATCCTCCACCCTGCTCAGCCTCTGCACCAGCGGCCCATATCCCCCCCGACACTCACCCCCCAGGGCTTGCTCTCCTCCCAGCCTCCCCAGATGCTGCTGGAGGACGATGATGAGCCAGAGTCTACCACCCCTCTGAACCAAGTACAATTATACCTGCAGCAGTTCCAGCAAGCCCGGCAGCCCCAGCAGCCCCAGCAGTCCATGCAGTCACTTCAGGCGCAGGTTCGTCAGCAACAGCAGCAGCAGCAACAACAACAACAACAACAACAACAGCAGCAGCAGCAGCAGCAACAACAACAACAACAACAACAACAACCAGGACAGATCTCTCTCCTGCAGTCCGTGCAGGGACAGTCTCAGCTCCCCTCCCAGACCACCCTGCCTCCCCCACAGCTCACCATTCAGTCCCAGACGCAGCCCGCCCCTTCACATCAGGCCCCGCCCCCACAGATGCCCCTCCACCCGGCCCGCCACATGCAGCAGCAGCAACAACTTAACTACCAGCAGGGTCCTGGACTCGCTGGTCAGTCCCAGGGGTCACAACACAAGGTATCCATGCCCCCCAACAAAGCACAGCAGATCATCCAGCAGCAGCAGCAGCAGCAGCCCTCCCCTCGCCCGCCCAAGGCTGACCCTTACAACGCAGGTGAGTGGAAGAAGATGAGACTAAAATGTAATGTAAGAGGGAGTCGGGAAGCAAAGATTGGTGTTGGCTGATGTTTATTATAATGCCTCTCCTTTCTGTTGACAGGTCACATAAGGGACAACCCATCACCTCTCATGATGCATTCCCCACAACTTCCCCAGTTTCCACCTGTGTCCCATCAGTCCCCACCTCAAAACATGCAGTCCAAAAAGGTGAGAAATGCTTTTTAGAAACCGTTCTAGCAGGTCAACTGTCCTGTGTCCACATGTCTGACTCTAACTCCATGTGTTTGTCCTGCAGCAGAGGGGCCAGGGGAACCATAGTGTTGTAAAGGAGGAGAAGCTTCCTCCATCACCAGTGATGAGAGGAGAACCATTCAACCCGGCCATGAGACCCGACCATCACAAACATCCTGATAATAAGCCTTCTCAAACAAGCCACGGCCCACAGAGTGAGTAACAGGACTTGTTGTTTTTACTGGAGCTTTATTTTGCTATCTTAGAAAGGCACCGATACTCTGACCTGCCAATTCTGAATGTATTTCTAAGAACAGTTAGAACAGCAAACACAAAGATTTCTTTAGCTTTTCTTTTCAATGGAAAATGTAATTGTATGTTCCTAAAAATTAGAGAAAATATTCTATACTGTGAATGTAGGCTTATTATTAGTTAATCAAGCGTATTCATGGAGCCCGATCACAAATTGCAGATTTGACTCAGTGGGCTTTACAATCTACACCCTATGTCCAACACCAGTACGGGCCTATCAGATTACAATCATCTTATTTCCACCGGTGGCCTATCAATCGGTGTATCTCCAGTTAAAATGCACAGAGACGGAGAATTGTAGGATCTCCACAAAACACTGAGAATATTAATGTGTGTGACCCTGTGTTGCGCAGATGTGAAGTCCATGGACAGCTCGCGACCTGTGATCCGCTCCTCTGAGTCCAGTGGACCGCCTCCCTCTCTGCAAGACAAGGACAAGTTCAAGCAGGACTCCAAGACACCTATTGCCCCCAAAAAGGTACAGGTGGGTGTAATTAGTCACTTTAAAAAAGTATCTTATACACATCTCCCAGTTCTTAACGTATGAACTTGATGGTACTGCATCTTGAAAGGTTTTTGAACATTACCGATATTAATGGAACTTTTCTTACTGTCTATCTGACTGTCTGTCTGTGTTTGTGTGTCTCAGGATGTCAAATTGAAGAACATGGGCTCATGGGCCAGCCTTGCCCAAAAGTCCACATCCACACCCATGTCTGCAGTGAAGTCATCGAGTGACAGTTTTGAGCAGTTCCGTCGAGCGGCCCGGGAGAAGGAGGAGAGGGAGAAGGCTCTGAAGGCCCAGGCCGAGCAGGTGGAGAAGGACAGACAACGCAGAGAGCAGGACAAACTACGGTAAGGTTGTCGCAAGACAAAACAGAGGGCTGCAATGGTTACCTCAAAGTAAACATTGAAAGACTATAGCAGCGGAGCACATGCTGACTGTAAATAGTTGTATTTTTAGTCAAACTCATTCGAAAAATAAGTTTGTGAGGCTGATACACTTTGTTGTGTTGAGTCCATCTAATTACAGATTGAGACCCTTCAAAGACCCTTTGCGTTATACAGTTTCAAACTCTAGTGTTGATGTAACACTTTCAACAGCATACAGGTGTTATCATTGCACTTTTGTTGCAAATGTATTTAGGTAGACAGTCTGATGATGAATGATGCCAGAATCCCTGTATGATGAACAGATGTATTATGCCCTCTAGTGGACATGTTGCAGCCCATTTGATAGATTTTAGGGATGCAGTGTAGTAAAGAATAGTGAGACTGATTTCCAGAGAAAGCTTTGCTCACCAGTCTGTGCTTCTTATGTCAGTTTAGAACTGTTTGCTTAAGCCAGTGGTTCTCAAACTTTTTCTGTCAGGCCCCCCGTTTGGAGAAAAAAAAAAGTCGGGCCCCCCCAACACAAGTCAGGCTCAGTGGCGGCGCCAGATATTTATTTTGGGGTGCTGTGGGGTAGCTTGACGTTTCACAGAGGGTGCTCAAACATTTAGGGTTTCCCATTAATGTACCGATCGCTACAGTGGGATTTTCTACTGCAACACTCCCCACACAAATACACAGTGTGACAGTTACAATGAAGGCTCGAGGCATATAGGTGTAAGCAGGGGTAAAGTGCTATTTTTATAAGTGGTGTGTGGCATGCTCCCCCGGGAAGGTTTATTTTTAAATATTAAAGTTAAAAGCATCAATCTGGTGCACTTTGAGAGCAAAATGAAGAGATCTATGGATACATCTCTCAACTAGGGCTGCACGATTTTGGGAAAAAATCGAATTGCGATTTTTCTGACAAATATTGCGATTCGAATTGCAATATTTGTTTTAAAGCGACCCAACGGAAGTTTACTGTAAAATGCGGCCATAACTCCGGCTAGGAAGGTCGTATCAACGTACTCCCGTCTCTAGCACCCCCGCAGCCCGAGCTATGAGTGAAAAAACTAAACTTACATGAAACTTCCGTTGGGTTGCTTTAAAGTCAAGCTTCAGTTTAAGATTCACCCTGTAATAGAAACACGTGATGGAGCAGTACTAACCTGACCCAGATGGTTTGTTTCACCAAACCATCTAAAGCTCCATTGGAAGCCTTTTGGAAAGGGCAGGCACTTTCAAAAGCACTTGGCAGGTGATTGGATCAATCTGTCTATCACCTTCTATCATGGGCTACTTCTGATTGATTAACAATGGCTGGTACATGTGGAGCACAGCACTTCTGATTGGTGTGGATGACTGAGACACAAGAATTATTATTTTTTTTATTTCTAAAAAGAAAAAAAGATTTAAAAAAAATTCGCAGGCTTTGCCATTTGATAATCGCATCATTTCAAATCGCGATTTCGATTTAAAATCGATTAATCGTTCAGCCCTACTCTCAACACCCATATGAAACAGAACTGTAAACAGATTTAACATTTCTTTATGGATATTTTACAAATCACCCTTTTAAACTTTATTCTTGTTTTACTGTCATATAGTATTTCATACCTGTTTTTCATTTATTCTCTTATTTTTTTATAACTATAATGATCATTATAAATGTGTCTCGGATATAATTGTTTACATTAATGGTGACCAAGACGTTTGACACCCACTGAGATAACACTGAGAGTCCTTTAGCTCACTGAGACTCTCAGTCTGACAGGAGAGGACTCTGCTCCACTTTGTTGTTGAAAAAACTCCTTACATCCGTTAGCGTAGCTCGCTGGCACCAGAAGCTAACAACAACGATCTCCGGTACCACACACACACACACACACACACACACACACACACACAGAGCCGAGCTTTAATGAAACACAGAGACCCAGACGTAATAGTACTGCATCATATTATTTTCGAATCAATAATTTTTCAATTTATGATTTTTTTTAAAAAATCTTTTATTTTTATTTTTTTTGCCATTTTTCCTCCTGGTCTCTCGCGCCCCCCCTGACATGCCTCTGCGCCCCCCACTTTGAGAACCACTGGCTTAAGCCAAGACATCTCTGTATTCTATGTGTTTTGAGTTGTAAAGCTTTAGGTGATCTTGTTTTATTATAAGCACAGCCAAACAAAAACTAAAAAAAAACTAAAAGTGAACCCCTTACAGAAATGTGAGAAGCATTAAATTCCACCTGGTGTAAATGATTTTCCTGAATGTTTTCCAGAGGGCGGGATGAAGAGGACATCATTGAGCCGACCAGACGGGTGCACGAGGAGCCCCGCCGGCGTCAGGAGCAGCAACACATTCAAGCTCAGTCGCAGCAGCAGCAGCAGCAGCAACAACAACAACAGCCGCAGCAACAGCAGGAGCCCCCGCCTGCTGCCATCCAGCAGCCTCCTGCCCCCCCCACCCCGCCTCAGCCCGCTGCACAGAACCCACTCGACCAACAGAGGGAGCTCGCTCGCCGCCGAGAGCAGGAGAGGAGGAGGCGAGAAGCGGTGAGATAACTGTGTTTACGGAAATAGTCAAATGATAACTGTAACATAGTCTAAAAGATATAGATTATAGGGATGGGAATTTGAAACCAAATGTATATTCTAATATTCAACCCCCCAAAAAACAGTTAACCGAATGTACATATCCTATACATTACAACAACAACAAACGTTTACTAACCTGGTTGAAATATTTCCACACATTACTCCGTTTTGACGCCATGTTTGTTGTGTAGGACGTTACGTTTTTTCTTAAGATATTTAAAATGGCACTATCGTACACATTTAATGAATCTATTTGATAATATGTAATCGACTTAGGCACCCCTCCCATCAAACAAAGTAATAAGTGATTGTGGGAGTGGTTTCCCAGAAGCAGTGAATGTAGAGGAAACGCTAATTGTTCTTCTCTCCTTTCAGATGGCAGCAACAATTGACATGAATTTCCAAAGTGACTTAATGGCTATCTTTGAGGAGAACCTGTTCTGAGGAGAGGAGCGACCGAAACGTAACTGCAAAAAAACAAAACAAAACAAAAAACTTGCATTATGTAAACTTCCTCGAAGGAGAGACGCTTGGCGACCACGCACCCCAGAGGGCCACGGACTGTCTGTAGCCGTGACGACCCTCGGAGCGAGGACTGAGGCTGAGGGCGCCCAGCTCGCTCTGCCCTTGTGGAGCGGACACACAACACATGGGGATCCTATTGGATGTCACATCCTGGGAATTTGGCATTGCCTGCCTGATGTAACAGGAGGAAGAGGACTCCTGTTGGCACAGTTTGCCTTTTTTCACTTACAGCGTGCGTGGGCGCAATAAATCGCAGGAGAAGAGACACCCTAATAATTATGAAATGCTCTGATAATGTACTGACAGACTGTGCAGACGTGTTTTTGAAACTGCCAGATGTCTGAGGTGGTGAAGAAGACTGGTGTTTTATGTTTTGTTTTGATTGTTGTAAGTGAACAAATGAAATGGTCGTCGGGGCAACTTCCATACTGTATATCGTGTATATTTCTCAGCAGAGAAGGTACAGTTTGCCTTACACCTCTTTCCTAAACAGACCATTGTGTACTGCACACGTTGACAAAACAATAACATTTACAACCAGGAGGAGAAGCAGTGCAGACCTTTTTTCATCATCTAGTATCTACTGTAAAGAAGTATTTTCTTATACTACAATAACTGTTTATTTTCTTTTTCTTCTTTGGGTCGTCATACCTTCACACTCCTACACCTCTGTCTATGCCAAACTACCCATTATCTTTTATGCTAAATTACTTGTCCTAAAACACGGTAGGTAGCTGGAGACAAAAAAACCTGAATATATGCATTATCATAGTTCCTGCAAGTATTTATCTAAGACAGCATCAGTTTTCATCCTGCCTTGTATTTTTCATTTAAAGCTACACTTGTTAGCAGTAAAGGGGAAAGGGCCGGACGTTTCTGTGCTTTAGTTGGAATATGATTTCACTAAAAGTTTAGCAACATCCTTTGTATTACATTTGAAGACATAATGTTGGAAATGTTTATCATTGGCGTGTTTGCAACAGTCACACTACTGGATCAGTCAAGAAATGAGATGAGGAGTCCCTTGCTGTTCTCTCTGTTGGCGCTCTGATCTTAGCTAAGGGTTAGGATCAAAGTGGCAGCAGCAGGAATAAGACACACACACCCCTCTGTAGCTGTTACTTGAATCTGGTTTAGTAAAACAATGACTGGAAGGAGCCCCCAGTTAGTTTTTGCATCAAACCTCTTGTAATTCACTGAGGGCACACGGTCAACAGTACGAAAAGAAAAGACAAACAGACATTTGAAAAAACTTTAAAAACAGTTTTGATTTATATCTTTGTTCTTGTTCAATAATAGTGGATGTGAGTTATAATTCTGTTATCGGAGACATTGTTTGGACCAGGGATGGGTTAAAAATCTGAAAGCATCTCGTCCTCTTCACTTGTCTCTTATGGTGTTTTTCTCCAGTGCCTGTATTGTATTGCAATTCTCGTTGGCTTATATTACACTTCAAGGGGTTTAGAAAGGGGGCGGGGCAGGATTGGGCGTGTAATATTTGAGATGGGAGGGAGATTTTTTGAAAGAGTTTGTGTAAAAAAACAAAAAGGAAAAAAAAATAAATAAGGAAAAGACAGCGTTTTATATTTTACCCGTTGTCAATATTCGGGTTTTAAATCTAGTTTTAGCTGGACTTCTATGAGTGTACACATCTGACAACTACTTTCTCATTTGTTCAATCAGCGGATTTTAGGTAGATATGTTTCAGCGTTGCCACACTAGCGTTTGAGTCTGGTCTGTGAGTGTGACTGTGTACATTTGGACGGCTGTGTGACTGTTTTGTTTTTGTTCAATTTTTTAAAAGTGTGTGCTGCAAGAGGCATGTTCCCCGATGTAGATAAGCATTCTATTGATGAGGAGAATAAACAGATGAACTTCAGGAGAACTTGTTTCTATTCTTAAGTCACCTTTTAATTTCTATGAAGACTACCATATATGAATATAGAATTTTAATTATTAGCCTGGTTTTGAAAGGGTAAAAAAAAAAACTTCATTCCTTTTTTTCTTTTCACAATAATTGTTGGACATAATGTGCCATGAATTCTTCACAGAATGTGCTGACCCGCAGCTCAGCCCAGAGTTTGCTTTATTCAGGTATTTTATTTTGTGTTACATTTGTTCTGTTTTGGAGGTTTTGTTCAAACATTTTCCTCGATTTCTTTTTTCTCTTTTTTTTTGTTTTGGTATGTGAGTGGTATATCGAGGTCTCTGATTCAGTCTGTTATGATCATTGAATAAACTCATCTCTTTTATAGAAAATAAAAAATAAACTAAAATCTATCTCTTTTTTTCTCATTTATCAATATTCTCAAGAGGGGATCTTTTCTTGTCCGGGCAGTTTAAGTGGTGCCAACCTATGCCTAGCAACCATTATCGCTAATAATGGTAGTACAACAATTTTACCCTAACTTTCAGTCGACAATAAATACTCAAATATACAATTCAGCTTTTGGCTGAGTCAATGTTTTTATTTTAAATATTTCCCGAATAATTGTCTACTTTTTTGTAGTCTTAATTCCTAAATATAGCATCAGGTATATTACAGATTTTTGTTATGCTTCTTTTTGCCTTCTGTATCTCATGCACCCTCCAGCTCTCATTCTTTTTCTGTTTATGTGACATAGAGATGCACCATAACCTCAGCCTAATTCCCAACATTTGGATGACAACACACTTCAGTTAACTTTTACAGTTAAAAATGTAAAATAGGAAAACATGAACACGGCATTAGTTGTTTAGCGCAAGTGTAAAAAATCTAACGTGTCTTTGTTTGTAGATTGTGAACATCACCATGCCTGTATCTGCAATCCCATTCTTACTGCTTAAAGATGACACAGGATGGACTGGAGCTGGAACTTCTGGAACTGATCTGATTTTGACCGGCTGTGGTTTTACATCCATTACATTGCCTAAATTAGCAGAATATATGCATTTGGTTTTGTTTAGGTACAATTGGTACTAATTATGCACAGTTTATTGTTACTGTCATAACTAAATAAATGTCATTTTATTTTCTGTTAGGTTTCTGAACTTATAATTGTATTTTATTTGATATAAAACTCACCAAATCTTGAATTTCAATTCTCAATTATACAGGAATAATCCAAATATTTAGATCATTGTTTTATTAAAATAAAATGTACAGTTTTCTTAAGACATTTCCTAAAGCGTACAAAATGTAACTTTTGGTTGCATTTCAACAAATGCCCAGCGATAAATGTTTTTGTCACCTTTTTGTACATACTTGGATTGGATATTGTAAAATATCTCTCCATTGGATTTATTTATTTTGAAGAAATGTTTCCGGAATGGTTAGTATGCTAGTTATTATGTCGTACTTAACGCTGGAGATCAACAGTATTCCTCAAGCGGGCAAAGTAACACACAGCTAGCTATCAGTTTTAGTGATGGGAATTCCGGCTCTTCTTGGTGAGCCGGATCATTTGGCTTGGCTCACCAAGAAGAGCCGGCTCTTTCGGCTCCCAAACGGCTCTTCAGTTTACCACATATTATACCTTTTAATTAAATCAAATGTAGCCCTGTTTTGACTAATGATTTATATGTGTACACATATATCACTTAAATTATTCAATATATCCTTTGTACTGAAGTATTCAAAAGTAAAAATTACATGTTTAATATAAATGATTTGCTGTGGCCAATTGTTTTGATTGCATTTACAGACCCTTGTAACTCTCTGATACCACCCAATGAATGCATTGACTTGCTTGTAGAACCACGCTACACAAAACAGATAAGGGGTTACTGTATCGACCTATATAAAGTATATAAATATCTTTTTTTATATAAAAAAATATAGACTATATAGACCAAAAAGATCCTGCATTTTAGCCATGCCTCATTTCGCTCTATTTGCTCTTTCCAGCGCTGTTTTTGGCAGTGGCTGATTCTGTGAGCTGCAGCTGACCACGCCTCCCTGCAGGAGAGGGGAGCGTGCTCTGAGATCAGCTGCTGGGCTGTCAGAAGAGGGGGAGAAAAAGAGATCTCCGTCCTCCGTGTTTTATTCTTATAGAAGTAAGAAGAGAAGTAATGGGGCAGAAACCCTCCTTTTTACGCAGCGGTCCAGACATAGACATCAAACGGCGACACATTCAGTGTGCAGTTCCTTTGGCATTAGGGCAGGGATATCTAGATACTTTCCAAGGTTTGACATAATGAATTGTGCTACTTTTAAAGCAAGCAACGATGTTTTCAAATCTGTAATCAAAAAGCTCCTCAAAAACACCATCGAAGCCGTTCCTGCTGTTGCTACGTTAGTTCAAACAGTAACAACGGACTACTTTTCTTAGCGGATGCATGTCAATTTAAATCAATACATAAAACTATTTTTTAAATCAATAAAATCATTTTCTAAATCCATAAAAGCATTTCAATTAATATTGGGAGACATGTCGTTACTTTGTTGAGAATGTGGCCATGTAATAAGCGGGATAATGTGCACATTGCACATTGCATAATGTGCCTTCAAGCCGATCTAGATCCCTCCGCAAAACAAAAAAAACCGGCTCGTTCGCGGGCGAGAGCCGGCTCCCGTCGTTCACTTAAAAGAGCCGGCTTGTTCGCGACCGACACATCACTAATCAGTTTAGCTAATCTTTATTATTGCAATGAATCAACAATTAAATTTTACTTTGATAACACAGACAATACAAGATAAGCACTCTTCATCCACATTACACATGTAACGACAAGACTGTTTTACAACTGTCCTTTTGTTTTGAAGACAAATTGTGTATGTGTTTACACTGGCCTCTTGTGGCCACAGTGAGGAAGAGCGAAACATTAAACTGCCGGTGAGCATTTCAAATTGATGTGATTTATACAACATTACAACCTTTATATATACAGTCTATGATTACAACACTACGTGGCATTCAGACCAGGGGCGGATCTAGACAAATATTCATGGGGTGGCAAGAGGGTGGCAGGAGATTTTGTGGGGTGGCATCCCCTGGCAGAAGTATATGCTGATTTAAATCGCAATCATATCAATCAATTAGGGGTGTAACGGTACACGTACCCATACTGAAATTATTCGGTATGGGCCCTTTGGTTCGGTACACGTGTGTACCGAACGAATATAGCGTTAAACGTAAAAAATTGAGAACATGAACAACTTTCTGGAAGTAATCTCAGGTATATATCATAGAGCGAGCAAGTCATTTCATTGGACGAGAGGCATACTATGAGAGCTGGTCAGAGGGATGCGTTCAAATTTAGTCAGTCATTTGAGGAACTGTCGAAATGGCGAACGCAGATAAAGTTGAGCTCGAAAATCCTCCAGCATCATTGAAGTCTCCGGTTTGGGAACATTTTGGTTTCGCAGTTACGTACAAGGATGACGGGCAAAGACAGGTGGACCGAACCAAAGCTGTTTGTCGGCATTGTTCAACTAAAATTGGTTACGCGGCTGGCAATACATCAAACTTGCACACTAATTTGAAAAGGCATCACCCGAACGTGAATATCACCGGTACCAAAAGAAAAAAGACTGTGCAAACCTAACTCCCGCTAGCATTTAAGCCTCCACCACTCGCAAAAAGTTCAGACCGAGCCAAAGCTATTACAAACGCCAAATATCCTTATGTTGCCGTGTTAGCAAAGCGCTATCTGGCTGTATCTGCTACCTCTGTCCCTAGCGAGAGGGTGTTCTCCACAGCAGGAGACATGGTTAGTGCCAGCAGATCTGCCCTTTCAGCAAGCAATGTGGACAAGTTAATTTTTCTTTAAAAAAACATGAAAATACAATGACAAGCAAGTCATAATGTCAAACTGGCTGCTTAGGTATTAGTACAAATACAGATTATTTCAGTTCATCGAAATGCTGCACCTTAATGTTTATTTTATTATATTTTGTATTTATTTGAGTGAATATTCAGTTTAATAATAATTAAAAACCCAAAACTAATAGTTTATGTTTTGTGAGTACTAGTACAGTAAAGTTCAAATACAGATTATTTCAGTTCATCGAAATGCTGCACCTTAATGTTTATTTTATTATATTTTGTATTTATTTGAATACATTATTCACAGTTTAATAATAATTAAAAAAAATATATATATATATTTAGTGTTTTGTGATAATTTTTTCTGCTGTACCAAAAACGTACCGAACCGAACCGTGACCTAAACCCCGAGGTACGTACCGAACCGAAATGTTTGTGAACCGTTACACCCCTACAATCAATGTTAACTTGGAAAGCCACAATATTAATATTTTAACTCAATGACATAGGTGATATTATTGTGGCACATCAGTAAAGCCTTACATATACATATATAAGGTGGCAGACGTAATTTAATGAATTTTAACTGAACAATAACTGAATGAGTTTGTTTCACTCTTAGACCAGCAGGGGTACCAAATCTATGAAGACTGCTGCAATAAGTACATTAATTAACTGTCTCATCGATGTTTGTCTGTATGAATATGATAATATTAACAATCATATTATTCCTATCAGCTGTCAATCACTGTTAATAAATAATAATAATAATAATAATAGATTTAATTTGTTAGCGCTTTTATAGGTGCTCAAAGACGCTTTACAGATATAGTGAAGAACTGTTATGATTCACATATTCATTTAGTATTGAATAAACTATATTTTTTGGAGGAGTTAATGATGAATATTCATCAAGATGCTTGCTCACCCTCCTTCAAATTTGAAAAACAAGTAATTATATCATTATTGATATACAGTTACAACCTTGACTTTACATCAGAAAGAACAAATATTAAAGAAGTGACTAACTGCATCAGTTAGGCTTAAAAAACGTGTATTCAGCTAAAACATAAACATCGCTGCAGTTATTATCCAGTGGAAAGTCCTTACCTACTGGCCTAGTTAAATCAAAGTGGTTACTTTTTTTTGGCTGGGCAGTGTAGTTTTACACACCGTCTTATTTTACTTTCTCAGGACTTAAAACAGTTTTTTGGGGGCAGAACCCTACAAAGAAAAAAATATATATACACGCATACAAGGTCATCATCTTAACAGTTTTGTATGCTCATCGAGTCATCCGTGAGCAGAGCAACAAGTTGGCATGCCTATTACAGCTGAATGCGGCGATTACCATCTTGTTCAGCAAAAAGCCTCACAAACTTATTAAGATCAACAGCTGTAGTGCGTTTTGATTCATTGCTGAGTACAGCCAAACTTGACATTCTCTTCTCTGTCATTGTAGATCGCAAATACCTCATTCCTTCCGTCTACTTGAGTCCGAAAGGCTTCTCGTTTTGCGCCGTCCCCCAGTTCAAGTGAATTCGCCACCAATCATATTTCCACTCTCGCGCCAGGGCCGGGGGAGGGGTTACAAGACTCGCGTCTTGTGCTGCATTCACTTGCACTCGGACATTAGAGATTTTCTCTCATAAATGTCCGATGAGCCACAACTTTTCTTTCAAAACAAAGATGCCAACTGGGGTGGCAGCTGGGGTGGCAAGGCTATTGTTTAGGGTGGCAGTTGCCACCCCATGCCACCCCGGTAGATCCGCCCCTGATTCAGACATACATATTTTACAGCCTATACTTATTATGATTATATAAGAAAGCATTTTTTTCATGATAGCCACAAATGTAATGTAGCTCCTAGAGATCAGTCTATCTACAGGACTAAATAAGCTAAATTGCGCTTTATTTTTCATCAATCCCTCCACAACTCTTTTAAACCATAGATACCTTTAAACCGAAGTTTACTAAGGTAAGAACTATGTTCCACTGTTCATATACAATACTTATTGTGATTTAGACGTGCCATTCTCAAGTTTTTTGAAATCGCCACCTGCTATTTAAGCTAGCTCGCTACTGTTAGCTTCCGTTACACGCCATCACATCACCTCAACTAAACAAGATAAAAACAAAAGAAGAAATAATTTAAATGAATAGATATCTGCATAAATATCTTTATTATCACCACTGGGGAATTTGTATGGTTTTATGTTATTTAAATATGTCGTAAAAATGAATCGTGCATCATAATTGTACAAATTAATGTTGTTCTAGTAATCTCTGTAATCAAAAAAGTAGTAAAGTATTTCATAAAATGTAACTTAGTACGTTACTTCATAAAAAACAAAAATTGAACTATTGATGACAAATTCTGACAGTCTCACAAATTCTTAGACAATGTACTGTAGTGTAACTTGATGTAGTTCTTCACAAGAGGGCCAAATAATCATCATTCTCCTCAGCTTATTATCAAGGCAGACACTAAATAAAACTTCCTTCATATAAAATAACATGTAAGCCTATATGTTACATATTTATATGTTATTCTATATGATCAAATGTTTCTATTTGTATTCATACTATTATGACCATTAACTATGTTCCTGTTAATTAGTAATAATTAAACAAAATTTGAGTTTTAAACGATAACGATAGGGTGCAGATTCTGGCTGTGACCATTAGGGGGCAGTGGACACAAACATAAACTAGCGTCAAGTCAGACAAAACAAAACTGACATTAACGGCAAATACCTTCAAAATAAAATAAGTGAATGACACATATTCGGTTAAAAGTAGGCAACATGTTTGCTTTTTAGAGACTATCATATGTATCCTTATTGGAACTTCTAAAACATCAGTGTAAAAGTCTGGTTTACCGAACATGTTGAATGTACTCTCCCTATCTCAGTCAAAAGTGCTTTTTGTTTTTTATGTTGTGTTGCTTTCAGGTGCTCCACCTAAATGTCTTGGGGTTATTGAAGGTCCTACTGACTTTTTAATGTATGTTTAACTTCAGCCACTGTTTTTGCGTCGTGACGTTTTTTTTTTACATTGTACTGCTTCGTAGTTTCAGTGTTTGGTTAAAATGTCACAAACCACCCACACAGAGCTTTAAAAGGGAAGTATTTCAGTTTGAGCCAAAACTATTGGACTGACTCACAATTGGTAGCAGACATTCAAATCAAATGTCCTCTTTTGAGATGCAAAAAACCCCACAGCTGTATTATCCGATATTTCAGGCTGCAGTGGGATATTTCAGGCTGCAGTGGGTGCCTCTCGCTGCCTGTGTGGGCTCCAGCTGATCCGAGTGAGAATGATTCAGAGAGGCGTCGACTTGAATTGACAGACGACAGCAGAGCCAAGTGTGTCATCAAATGGCAGCTAGCAACTCCGGTTTCATGTCGGACCTGTCTGAATGGAGGAGACTATAAGAAGGGCGGTAAGTTACAACTAAATACACCTTTCCTTTACATACACGCTAAACATAAAATAACTTGAATGCAACAGTTTCTGTTTAAGAGTTGAGCGTATCCAGTATCAGTACGTTTCACTGTAAGTTAAAACGCGTCACAACAGCCGAACTTTTTTATATTTTCAGCCATTTTTATCTTGTTTTTTGTTAATTAGTTTGCCCCCCACAGTACAATCTAAACTCGTGTTAAATTGTTGTATTGTCGTTTGCTTGCTAATGTCACTTAACAAGATGTTTTTTTTCGCGGTTGAAATCTGAGGGTTGGCTGTTGCTTCTGTTTTTGAGCTGTTGGTCGGACACTTGTTATTTGCTCTGTGGGAATTTGTAATGGTGCTTTCTTTCACTGTTTACCCACTGTTAAAGAAAACACGAAGAGTTAATTCACCCTCCTAATTTATTGTAATACATAATCACCATACATGCCAACCTTTCCAAATCCAAAATAGGTAGGTTTGCGCCCGGCAAATGTGCACGCCCAAATTAGGTGATCAGAAGAAATGGAACCCCAGAAATTACATGTATAAACCATGTATTTAACATATATTGCATAATTTTATTCATTTTTTCACAAAAAGTGGTAGTTTGGTAAACAGTGACATCAACGACATGTTTGGTCTGTAAAATGCCCGAAAAGTAAAAGAATGGGAGATAAATATCCCAAAGTCTCCACATTTTATTATATTTGTAATGTGTTTCTGGTCCTCTTTCAGTTGAGACAGTGTAGATGAAGGATGTGTCAGGATGTAGCTGTCCTTTTGTGCTCAAAGTGCACCAGATTGATGCATTTAACTTCAACATTTAAAAAAAAATCTTCCCGGGGCTGCATGCCCCCTAACTTCCCAAGAGAAGGTGAGGTCCACCCCCAAATAAAGCAGGTTAAAATAATTAAATTGCATACATTTCTTTTAGCAAACACTGAAAACGGGTCCCATAGACCCAAACAGCACACAAAGGTTAAAGGTAACATATATCAGAAAATAATGTCATTTCCTGCATTTTTCTACTGATAAAGTGTGATATAAATTGATTGATTGATTGATTGAAAAGTTTATTAACAGCTTGTATATTGGGTACAGTACAGTACAGCTCAAAACATACAATTGTTAAGGGGATGCAGACCAGAGAAAGATTTTCGTCTTGTTTACATCAGGGTCCCCCATTTCCAATTCATCATGTCATTTAAGACATATAAGACATATTTGACATACAGATGGCTTATTTACAATTTACATACAGGTGGTTTTTTTACATACAGATTGCTTGTTTACAATTTTCATTTTAGATTTCGTTCTAATACATCCTAACCGGACATTTAAGACATACCAAGTCTACAGATATACAGTTAGTAACAGAGTCTAAAATGCGAGTATATACATAGATGGGGGGGGGGAAGCTGTCCATTGAACGACAGGTTGAGATTTGTACCATTACCGGGGCCAGTTTTGCAATGCTCTCCCCCGAAGGTGCTCTTTAAGAGAGGTTTTGAAGGTAAGTATAGTTTTACTTTCCTTTACAGTTGTGGGAAGAGCGTTCCACCTTGATGTGGCATAATTGTGAAACGTGTATTCCCCCTTTTTTGTGCCAAATCTGGGTTTCACATGATTTGTGGAGCTCCCTCTGGTGTTATGGTCATGGTATTCCTTGACCTTTGGGAAGAATGTTGACATGTACATGGGTACCATAGAGGTGTAGTGGATCTTGTAGATAATAATGTGCAGGCTTTCAGATTGCTGTAGTTCACTAAACAGAGACATTAACGACATGTTTGGTGTTGAAAATGTCAGAAAAAGTGAAAGAATGGGAGATAAATTTCCCAAAATGGTATTATATTTTATGTGTGTTTTGTGGTCCTCTTTCAGTTGAGACACTGTAGGTGAAGGATGCTTCAGGAAAAGACCAAACACTGGATGTTAGCGGGATATGTGTACTAAACTTTATTTATATAGCATCTGTTATACAATAATGTAGCCCACAAGTGCTTCACAAAGCAAGAAAAATAACACAAGATAAAAACAGTTACACTTATCCATCCACCTCTTGAAGACAACTGGTTCCTATTCTTACGTTGCAGTTATGTGTCTACAGTTATGGCCATGGAGAGCAGTCTGTGGAGTACCTGCGACTACAGCCACAATGTCACCTTCTTCTACAACTTGGTGGGTAAGAAGATCAGCGAAGAGTGGGCGCCGCGGGACGTGTTTGTGATTGGACTGGGCTTGACTGTATGTCTCATTGTAGTCCTGGCCAACCTGATGGTGATGGCGGCCATCTCCATGAACCACCGCTTCCACTTCCCCATCTACTATCTCCTAGGCAACATGGCTGCAGCTGACCTGTTTGCAGGGATCGCCTACGCCAACCTGATGCTGCACACGGGCCCCTGGACCAGCACCCTCACCAAGGAGCAGTGGTACATCCGAGGGGCTTTGATCGACATCAGTCTGACGGCCTCGGTGGCCAACCTTCTGGCAGTTGCCGTGGAGCGCCACCAGACTATAATCACCATGCAGCTTCACAGCAAGATGACAAAGCGGCGAGTGGTGCTGCTGATCGTCTGCATCTGGGCTGTGAGCATCATCATGGGGCTGGTGCCCTCGCTGTTTTGGAACTGCGAGTGTGACCTGGAGGACTGCTCCACCGTCGCTCCTCTCTACAGCCGCCGCTTCCTCATCTTCTGGGCAGCTCTCAACCTGCTCACGTTCTTCATCATGGTGGCCATGTACACTCGTATCTTCTTCTATGTGAGATACCAGATTTCACACATGTCCCAGCACAGCTCGGAGATAAGGCACAGGCAGACTGTTTTCAACCTGATGAAGACTATCTCCATTGTACTGGGTGAGAAGCTGTCTGTTCCACTGCTGCATGTGTGTTGTGGGTTAAAGGTCAAGTTTATAAGGTTGGGTTTTTATGGCAGTGTAGACTAAGACTTTAATTGTTTTGGTATGACACACTTTACTGTTAATACAACACATTGGGCAATTATTATTTTAGCAACAAATAAAAAAAAAAAATGTGCTTCTTATTCAGAAACTAAGATTTAGTGGCTTTAACATGTAGCTGGCCGCTACATATGAAGATACACTGTCTCAATATTAAATATGCTTTGGCTCTGAGTTGTGTACATGTCTGGATGCTTGCTTCCTGTGGCCTAACAGTAACCTCCTCAAACCAGTTTTGCAGCATTGCCTTTCTGTTGGTCAGACCATTCTGATTACATCATGTACTTGAACACAAAAAGCTGTCCCAATAACCCTCTGACTATCTTTGTGACTCATCTCCCAGCGGAAAATCAGTTAACGTTGACATTAGGCATCAAGGAACACGTGTGACCTAATGTAGCTGCACTTTAGACAACTGGTGTCATCTTACACGGCTGCATATTTGGAAGATTTTACTTTATTGTTCTTGACTCCCTTTTTTGCCAACCCACATCCTTCAGGCGCCTTTGTGATCTGCTGGATGCCCGGCCTCGTGACGCTCTTACTGGACGGGCTGTTGGGCAAAGCCAGCCACGCCAACGCCTACGAGAAGTTCTGTTTGGTCATAGCCGAGTGCAACTCTCTGGTCAACCCCATCATCTATTCCTTGCGAGACGAGGAGATGCGGAGGACGTTCAAGTGGATCCTGTGCTGCCTGTGTGGGAGGGAAGGGGACAAGCAGATGGAGCTTTCACCTGTCGAGATGTACCCCCCACTGCCAGAGGTCTAGTTATATTAGCACATCTGAAATGATTTACAAGCACAGGCTATAAAATCGAAAGAAAAGGCTCATATTCAGATATCGCTCTTCCGTTACACACACAGCGAGTTAGGCAGGTTTTCATGTAACGCACCAATGCACATGCTGCTTTCATATCTAACGTCAGGTACCCTGTACCCGGCGCGATAGAGAACCAGGAATTCCTCCTCTTCATGTCTTTGTTTCATCTTTGGGTCAAGACTACGTTTATTGAGAAAGAAAACAATTAAACGCATAGTTCAGATGGTTTGATCTGTTGGGAAGTATGTAGTATTTTTTTTAAAGAACAAGTTAGTGCCAGTTCTCCCCTTTGTGTTGCTGTGGACAGGGCCAGCAGTCATATATCAGTATTAGTTGAAGTGGATGCTATATTCAGAATATCTTCACTGATCTCCCTTGCCGCCAGACAGTCTTTTCCTATGGGAGCTGCCAGAAGTTATATCCACTGCTCTCTTAAAGCCACTAAATTCCTTTTGACAACAACAAATACCTTACAAAACATAGAAGTGGCTAATCTGTGTTTTATTTATTTGACATATCAGAAATATGTATATATAAGAAGTTGTACACACTGACAGATACATATTCATTATCTGCCTCTTCATCACTTTAGGTTGTTATGGTGCGACTTTGGTGAGTTCCAACTAACCTTTTAAAACTCTTTAGGTCAGCCATAATGCAAAGAAACGTGCATCTCGTGTTCTGCATGGAAACATTACAGTTGTTTTCTCAATGGAGTCTGGTGGCTTTGAGAACAGAAGGACAGAAAGGCTTCAGACCCCGTCATTACTTCTGATTCTTTCAACTAGATCCTTGCTGATGAACAACTACTGTAGGTTATACTCCGACCAGAGAAGTGCAACATACAACCCTGCTTTTAACTATCTCTGTAAATTACAAAATCTAGATTCATTTTTAGAAAATGGCGTCCTTACTGTACAGTATGTCCTTTTAAATTCAAAACACATTTTTCCATTGTTCTTGATGCCTAATGAATTCTGTTTTGTTTTTTACAGGAAGCTCTTGGCTGTGTCCAGAAGTCAGAAGATCCGGCCGTCTGTCCAGAAACGAACAATAAAGAATCCAGCTGGACGACACCGGGGGTCTGATGTCTGTAGGCCTGCAACTCAAACAAACCGACGACACATCGTGTAAAATCCTTCTTTGTATTTTCTGCCTAATGACCTGTCATGTTTGCAATTGTAAAATATATATATATATAAAGATGCATCTTTTGAAAATAATTGTATCCATGTCGAACCAATGCTTTCATTCCTCAGTCTGACGAGGCGGACAGATCCACATGTTGATCCTCGAATGGTGCAATCTCTCCTTTTATTACATTTGACTATCACAAGAGCATTTGTGACAAATGATTAAATGAAACACTCCTAAAAATCTGAAATGAAATACTGAAAAATCACACTAAATCATTTTATTAATTTTCTAATAAGAACACTACAATTTGTCATATTCTTCCTTTTTGTTTGACTCTTTCTAGAACAATTCTAAAGTTGAGGTATAAAAGGAGTTCATACAGACTCACAAGTCTGCAAACAGTGGGGGTTATATACAAGAGCAATGGAAAGACAGAGGTAGAGAGAGGGGTAAATACAAGGGAAAGAGGGGATACAAATATACTAATAAGAAACAAAGAAATCAAAAAGGTTTACGAAGCCATTTGGCGCGGTGGAAGTCGTTTAGACACTTCAGAATCTAAACGAGATTCAAACATGATTAACCGTGAAAACTTGAAGTTTTGCAGATGTTGAAAACATTCAGGGGACCACATGTTTGTCTTGAAGTGTTTCTCATAAATGCTTTTTGCTCTTCTCATTATGTTTGAGGTGAGTTGACATGAAAAGCGCAAATTGTAGACCATCTGCTTTACGGTGAAGGTCTCTGGATTCAGGGTGCATCAAGAATTGTAACCATTTTAAAAGATTCAGTATTAACTTCCTCTCAGTTGTAAGCAAATATACTGCTTGCATATTCTTACAATATTCAGGCATTACAAATTAGTTTCTGGGATTAAATGTCTACAAAACCGGCAACATCTGCACATTTACATGAAGTCATGTCGGATCAGTTTTGAACTGAATGACCCTCCGTGTAACTATTAAAGCTTTTGTAACTCCGTAAACCTAAACTTGAATACGATAAAACTATTTGATACCTCTTTTAGAAAACTAAATAGATTTAGGATTGAATGACAAACAGATGGGTGAATATTCTGATAATTGTGGAGAAGGTTGAGACTGATGGGGAAAGGTTACCCACTATTGCCTAGGTGTAGAATTGTCTTTCCACAGCACCAAATGTCACACCTGTAAACCCTACAGCCACGCGGCTATGTAACAAAAGACCTAAATAATATTCAAAATGGATAGTTATCGTGGATCCTGTGACACAAAGGCCAAATAAAACTGGCATCTCAACCGAACAACAAAGTTTATAAAAGGAAAAATAAAATACTGAAACGTTACACAAACTGTACAGTGACATCCATTACAACAGGTAGAAAAAGGGGGGCATGATAATTTGGTGTGGCGATAACGTTATTCATAAGATACAGTCGTATGAACCGCGATGAGTAACAAAACAATAATCAGATGTGGGATACAACATGTGATAAGCTCAAGTTATTTTCTGTAACATAATTCAAGAAAGTCTTGACGGACACTGCATAAGGCTTTACCTTACTTTCAAAATACTTTGTTAATCACATAAAAGTTAATGTATAAAATAGTTCCAAAGAATGAAAAAACGTTGCAGGTTTGTCTTAAACACGAGTTAAGAGTTGTACTACCCCCCAGTGCTGCCTCTTTTTTGGTAAAAGAGGAGAGAGAGAAGCTCTTGCCCAATTGGCCGTATAACTATAAACAAATGGTGGTTTTAGGTGTTAGGGGAAGGGTTACAGAGCATAACTGATACGCTCACAATCAAAATAGAGCTGTGATATGACAGTCCTCACTCCACCCACCCTCCCATGATGCCCCACAACAAAACCTCCAAAAATCAAATCAAGTTGAGGCATGACAACACCACACAGAGACACAGATACAAATATAATTCCCTCCTCTCCTCGAACTGAAAAGGTGGCTGTGCACCAACGTTAGAGAGACACAGAGTAGCATTATTACATTGCTGAACGTGGTATTTTTGGTTTTGACACAACAGAAGGTTGTAGTGTGTTGCCTCGGGCTAACAAGCTTAAATGTTTTCGAGATGGGGAGCAGTGGACCCCACCTGGAGTGTCATTGGCTGGCGGAAGCACCCAGTCTCTACAATGCACCAGCCAGTGTGACGAAGACATCCCAAGAGCACTGTACACACGCCCACACACAGCATAGCAATACATGATGCACTTTTTCCTTTTTGGTCTGACTGTAATAATTATACCCTTTATTATTAATATTATTTTTTGTTAATAAAAACGAAGCTAAAAACTTGGAAGGTTAAATGAAAACAATAATATCACGCCTAGGAGTCCTACATGCATGGAAGACAGTCACGTTTCTAAAGTCATGTCACGTTTGTCCCAATAACACATCAATGCCCCACAATCGTTCCACCTTCTCCTCCTCACGTCATTTAGATGCTTTATTGAGCTCATTTTTGGTGGCGGCTGGTGCATTCTTGGTGAAACAGCATTAGAAAATAGCCTACAATCAAATAAACTAGTGGACAGAAAGCAAGAAGTAAAGTCTACAAGCCGTCTACCAACACCCTCTATTGGTTAGCAACAAAAAAGGTCTATTAGTTACATCCACTCAACCAAAGGTATTCTCCTCTGCCCATTCCTCCTCCTCCTCCTCTCACCAGCCCTGTTATCACCTGCACTGCCTTCATATCAGGGACCCCCTTAACTACCTCACGTTTGTGCTCGACACATCCTTTATGTCAGGCTCACTGAAAACTACTGAAAATGTGTGTGGGCATATCTCAATTATTCACTTTGTTTAAATCTCCAACAGGATGAAGCATCAAGCTATAAGGACTGGAAGATATAACAGTGTCTTGTGTTGAGTTGGCAGAGGGTGGTCTCGGAGGAACAGCTGTGTTGACTGGGCAGCACTTTGGTACGAGCGAGGTGAGCAGAGCCCCCTGGTGATCCGTAGCAACAGTTTGGCTGTCAAACGCCGAGGCTTCAAGAGATACAGGCAATCGCAAACAGCTTTCCAAAGCAAAGGGTCGAGTGCAGAGGTCAACAGCACATGGACAAGCTGTGTGGGTACTGTGAGAAGTTATCGTGCATAATATACACATAATGTACAGACATCATGATCTTCACAGCTGGGTCAGTGGTTTTCAAAAAGTCTGTGATAGTAAAGATGTTTTCTATCTGTCTCAGCATCGGTGAGCTCCATCCCTCTTTTAGTCAGAGTGAGGGAGCTTCTAGCATCGAGGTGGAGCTGTGGGGGGGAGGGACAACTCCACCCAACTACTGTTTGGCTGTCCTGTGTTCCAGCACAGTGTGTGTGTGTGTGTGTTTGTGAAATGCGAGCACAGCCTTGTGTGGCTGTCGAGTTGAGAGACGAGGGAGTGGTGGAAAATGAAGACGGAGGATGGCAGTCGGAGCGGGCCGCAGAGGGAACGGAGAGATGGCAGGGGGAGCCACAGAATCAGTTGGAGGCGTCGGAGTGGACGCTGCCAGGAGGACCGGGAGGAGAGGTGACCGAGGGGGGGGTGGTGGTGTCCTGCCAGCTGTTAGCCTGCAAACAGTCAGGGAAGAGAGTGTTCTGCATGAAGAAGGAGTTTTATAATTAGACGTCTAAATCAGCTATATTTATGCTTACAGGCCAAAAGATGCAGCGTAAGAGATAGCTCACTGTATGCAGACAAATGGTTTGAACTATCAGCTGTGTATGTATGCACATTGTTACACACGCAGAGACAATGACTTTCAAGTAAATTGTTGTTGTGTGTCTTTTTCTCATACCCTTCCCCAACATAAATGAAGTTAAAAAAATTGGAGGAAGCCAAATGCAACCTGGTTACTTGATATCTCAGATATTTCTGCCTAGAAGTAATATATTCCTAAAATGTAAGTCTCTATAATAATTCACCCACAAAGAGAAGCAATTGGCTTATTGTCACATCCCAGGAAGCATCTCTTAGGTCACATTCAAGTTGAAAATGTCCTTGATGATAATAAAACTGGCCTACATTCGCTTCATGGTATAATAACCATTTATGTTTTTTTAATGATTGTCCAACTGCAACAACTCATTATTTCAATAAATAGTTGGAATATTCTTCACATTTAAAAACATTGCTAAAAGAAGCTTTTAGTGTGTACTCACATCCAGGCGGTGAGGGGTGTAGAGGCCACTTCCCGACAGCTCCTCATAGCCGCCCGTCAGGTGTGTAGCACGGTGCAGGGTATCCACCTGCCACACAAAATAGACCCACAACTTTTAACTCAACATTCAAACAACTATACCGTTTTTCTAAACAACCACAGGCTGAACTGAGTAATCCACAAACCTCTACTGTACGCATCATAATTCTGACTGCTTTTTTGCCAGCGACACATTTTATTAAAAGTAGTTTTTCAGACAAAGTGATCACTGCATTACGGCAATCAATAAAGCATATCCTATAGCTTCTGTTTATTGTTCAATTTCAACAGCAGAAATGTGTGGACTCCTCCAGACAGTTCACTGTGAGGAAATCTAATTGGTGTACATAAGGATATAGAACAAATGGAGAGATGGGATGGAGGAGTGTGTGGAAAGGGAGGGAAAACAAGGACTAAAAAAGCAGGCAGCTGTTGGAGAGGCAGGACAACCTAGAGGGAAAGAAAATGAAGCTCAGCGCAAGTTCTTTTAGGAAGACTGGTATACATTCACTCAGCAGCTGCTTATAATCAGCTCATCACGGGCTTCCTGCTAACCTATTCATTCACCTCAATCTCAGCAGCCAATCACCGAGCTGCAGCCAAACTTTAAAATGGTTCTCCTCTCTCCAGCAGTCAGCTGTGATTTCAGGTGCTCATGCTGCCGACATAACCGTTTCAGATCCTCGTAGCAGATATCAAGCAAGAGCGAGAGGAGAAGACCTCCATCGGCAGAAACGCGGGTACGTCCGACTCCGGCCGTCTCGGCATAAGCGAACAAGCCGATCCGGTATCAGAACGGATTCGAGGCCCCTCGATCAGCTGAATAAACAACTCGTGCTCAATGTAGTCTTGCAGCGTATGTCTCTCACAGCAATGAGTCACTCACTCAGCTCACGTTTT